GAACTCTTGTTCAATACGAAGCCATTTAGGCCTTTAGATCGGAAAACTAACGGGGAAAAAGTTTCAAATTTCGAGCTATACGGCCATGTACAGTATAGTTCATGCGCGGATATAAACCCAGGCACTGCAAACAATTTAATTGCATGTCCAGGAACAATTTGCTTAGTGCTATGTTCCGTTCCCAAGGAAAGGTTTTCCCTAATTCGCCCAACAATTTTTATAGTATAATATATGATTGTTATTTTTTATTCCAGCAGGGAAGAATTGCGAATTTTCTCACCTGCCAAAATTATTGCCTCTGGAATTGAATTCGCATCATTAGATGGCTTTCGTAGTCTCAAATTTCACTCGAATCAGACAATTTCATGACCGTGTTCATGTGCAAATTAACTGAAGCATCCACAGTTCCCACAAATTTTGAAACGATTGAAATTCAAACAAATAAAATCAACCAGAAGCCTGTTGACGCACTGTAAGCTTCTCCAGACTCAGTTTTCTCTCGACGTCTAAATTAAATACAGCCTATACCGAGCATGTTGTGTAAGCGGGCACACAAGACTCCTGAAATTATAAGCCGATTATAATGAAAATAAAGCTTCTTATTTCAGACCTTCTCCCCTGGTAGCGTTGCAAGGCTTTCTTTAATCTCCTCCTCAGGAATTTGTCCTTAATTAACCGGACCTAATTAAGCTTATTGGTGGTTCGTCATAAGCGAGAAAGTATGAATTGAAAATGTAACGTCAAAAATTATTAGGCTTCGTATTACAAAAAAAATTAGCCTACGCTCTGAGCTGGTGCATTTATGTACAAAAGGACCAGCATCATTTTGTTATTTCACAATTTTTTATAATTTTATGTGAGAAAAATTTTTCTGACCCTCATAGGGTCGTGTTTCCAGGCGATCATCCTATACTGCAGGATCATAAAGTTACCTCATAAGGTTAATTTATGTAACTGTTTCATGTAATTTTTTGCTATCACGAAACCCGAAGAGATTGTTTTCTGCGAATCATTAGAATTGTTAAACCAGAATAGATTCTCTCCGAATAAATCTTTTAGATTTGTGACGGGAAAGCCATTTCCATAAAACGTACTTGAATATCATCTCAGTTCACGCAAAACTTATGAAATCTTCTACTTGCACATCTATCATGTTATAGACTATATATAAGAGTGTAAGTAAGTCAATCATTGATTACTTCAATACGCATTAAAATTCGCTACGTAATACAATGCGCGAATACAGTTTCAAATCATAAGAGGATCGAAATAAAAGCTCGTTTTGAAACTTGCTGGATGAATTTATTCGTGGAGCATAGAATATTATCAATGCGGGCATTTGTATTGCACACTTTTTTGGCGATACATGTCGCTGTCTTTGCTGATCAAGTTCGTGAAATATATCAATTAATTACATACTTTCTATGGCAACGAGCCATAGAAAGTAACCTGGGACTCTTAAAATTGTGTTCGCATCCAAGTTAGAGAGGGTGTCTCAAGCAAAAAAAAAAAATACCTGACGCTAGCTGCCAAATAAACAAGTCATCTAAACAAACAGTCATATAGACAAAAAAAATTGAATAAGTCATAACTTTTAACTTCTAGTCTAAGTTCTGACGTCTTAATTTGTGCTGTGATTTAATTGCCTTCAATTAATGTCGTCTGACCTCATAAAAGTCTTCTTAAGCGTAACTGTAGCACGTCAGCGGGAGCAACAGCCCCGCCGGCTGCCTTCACTCTCCTTAAGTAGCGTTCTAATGAGTCCCACTACGTCATCATTAGCGCCTCCATCTGTTGTCATAACCTCGTCCACGTAGTGCCTACAATAAACGCGTAATTAGGCTTGACAACGCATTTCATGCACGAGCTTACAGGCTCCAGGGCTCGGCTGAGATTTTGTAACAAGATTTTTCTACTTCCTCTTCTTGGCCGGGCGAAAGAAAAGTTGAAAGATATACATCCCCTTATTTATAACCGCTGTAAATTTTTGTTCTGTTCACATTATGGAGATTTTTAACCCTTAAGTGTATCGTAATAATTTTATTTCACTAATGCTCCTTTCTTCAACAACTACGGAAAAAATGTATTCAAGCGTGAAACTTTAATTCTGCGGAGGTTGTAATGTTGTTATTTTGGCACTACTAGATTGCTCGAGGATTTGAAGAGAATTAAAAGAAGTGAGTTATCGGATGCAATGTAAAGGCACAAACTTATTCAATATACTTCGAACGTAGAGATGGGGAGCAGTACCCTAGGAAATGAAAAAACATCAAATTGCGGAAAGCAAAGGCTCTTGCAGAGGATATCTGATCACTTCATCTCGACCATGCGAGGCCCAGAAATGGAGCAATCCTATCTAGACTGGATCTTAATACACAAAGAGCATCAGAAACTTCTTGTTTCGTTCCCATAGAGCGTTACAATATTGGGATTTTGTCTCTGGACTCTTCTCTCACTGGGACTTTTCTACCGCAGTCAAGTGTGGCCTGGTCCATGTCTGGTGCCTAGAAGATACCACAGTCAAGTGTGGCCTGGTCCATGTCTGGACGGACCTTCTATGGTGTCAGTACACACCGGACCAGGTACAGACCACGGATCTTCTATGGTGTCAGTTCACACCGGACCAGGTACAGACCACGGAAGAAGATACCACAGCAGTCAAGTGTGGCCTGGTCCATGTCTGGTGCCTAGAAAATACCTCTGTCATGTGTGGCCTGGTCCATGTCTGGTGCCAAGATACTTAATACAATTTTTGCAATTTGTCGACATTTACAGATTATCTGGACTACCGATTGCATGAAATTGCGTGATGTAACCCAGAGCCGCCGATAAGAAGCCAACGTGGGATCAACAAGTCGGAAAAAATATTTCATGTAGAACTTCACGTTTGTGATACGAACTTGCGGCGATGCATTCAGTGAATTCTACTTGCTGAAATGCGTATTTTTCTGTATTAAGGGTAGTCGAGAAGTTATGGATACCTAAGTACCAAGGAAATTTTATAAGTACACTTTTTACAAATTTACTTCACGGAACTTGAAATCAAATTTAAACTGTAATCTCATGTCAGATGTTAAAAACTGTTCAAATTTGGATTAATGTCTTGAGTTTTTAACTAATGGATTCACGTTCGCTTTACTTGATAGTGACCAAATTAATAAAAGTTGTTTTGAAATTTATCCATTATTTTACTGACCTGTCAATAACTCAAACCGGCATGGTTCATTCTAATTCATATCATCTAGCGCCTCAACTCTAGAGTGGCGTTTCTGGTCATAGAGTTGCCGGTCACGTGCCACGCTGGTGATGAATGACGATCAAATTTATATATATTTTTCATGAAACAGGCAAAATTCGTTACTGATGACCGAAAAAAACTTAACGAAAAAATAAATAAAGTTATTGCTCACCGGTAGACAAATGTTATTTCTAAGGCTCTTTCCATACTAATAAATTCTATCAAGTAAAAAATATAACATTGCATAAATGTTTTACTAGAGAATAATTTCCTATTATAAGGGAATGTTCGATAAGTATCTTCTAATAATAATGTATGTTTTAAGAGTATTTTCAGTTTGCTTTGGTTATCGATGTCCAGAACAAAAAATACATTGAACTAGAACCCAATGATTTGAAATCTGCATTGGAATGAATTTCAAATATGTATGAAATCTGCATTGAAATGAACATCAGCATTAAATAACACAAAGAAAATTGAAAAACAATAATGAGCGATTGAGCAGTTTTTCTTCACATTTGCACTCCTTTCCTTATATCGGCACAAATTGTTAACGAAAAGGCGATGAAAATGAAATCTTTCTTCATGCGATATAAATTAATCGATTCTGCATGGACAAATGAGTAAAGCCAATTGATCTTCAATTTACATAAAACATATCATGAATAATAGTAGCGTGGCGTCAATATCATGTTAGTGGAGACATTAACCCAGACAGATCGGAGCAATATTTAATAAGGTGAAATTTGGGTTGGTGATAAATTAATATTCAAAACGATGAGGCAGAGAAAACTCCAGTCATAAAAAATTCCGCGAACGCCATTAGTCTTCTCTAGGATAACTTTCATGGATCAATACTTCGTATCAGTATCCTCGTAACCTTATTCAACTTGACAGAGCAACTTTTCTTAAGGATAATAAACGAAAAAATATTTGTTAATGGTACCGTCAGTTTTATTCACATAAAATCCTATTTAATAAAGCAATTCATTGGGCTCAATTCCTGATGAACAAATTTTCTCGGTTTCTCCGTTGATTATGATGAGAATAGGGCGGAAAAGTATATTCGCCAGAAAATTAATCATCAAACGCATATAAAGAAAGCAAACAAAGAAAATTATGATCGATTGTGAAGGCAGCGAAGTACTGAATTGTTCCCTCGGTGGGCGGTGTGAGGTCAGGAAGCATTGTGAGGTCAGTGTGCAGTGAGAGTAATGTGAGGTCAGTGGGCAGTGAGAGTAATGTGAGGTCAGTGTGCAGTGAGAGTAATGTTAGGTCAGTGGGCAGTGAGAGTAATGTGAGGTCAGTGAGCAGTGAGAGTAATGTGAGGTCAGTGAGCAGTGAGAGTAATGTGAGGTCAGTGAGCAGTGTGAGCTATGTTAGGTCAGTGGGCAGTGAGATCAATTAAAGTCAAAAATGGTCATCAAAGTTATATCGCTCAATGACAAATGTTCGAAAATGATTTTGATGCCAGCTTCCAAAATAATTATTTGACATCCTGCCGCCTACTCAGCGTGAATAAGACAATCGTAATAAATTATTAATTCTAAACTTATTGTGCTAAAAAAATAAATAGAAGCATCTATCGGCAAGGAAGGATGACATAATCTATTTACAAACATTTTCACCGTAAAATTATTACTCAGTAAGGTAGGGTCTGTTATTTCTCTAGTTTTGAAGATACAATGTGAAATTTAGCGCTTACTTAATCTGCTGCTCCGAATACAATATTTTTTAAGACTATTCATTCTAAAATGTACGCCATTAATTTAATTTTATTTAGAAATGAAGATTAGATTAGATTAGATTTAGAAAGGGTCCGAGAAAGTAACCAGCTCGTCGTCGGATTTTCTCTGCAGGATTTAATATTCAGAAGAATATTCAGCTGGATCAACACTCCTGTAGAATTTCATGACAAGATCGGCAAGTGTGTTCACTGGCAAATCTGTTATAGGCTTCTCTAAAATTACCAGGGGAGATTGATCGTTCATACGCCCTTCTTCTTCGACAGATTTAAAGTTTTGCGTCCTTGATTTGCTGTTTTGTGTAGAATATTTTACGTTCTGTGTTGTATGTGGCCGTCTTGGTGGCTCTGTTGGTAGCCTCCATCCCCGGACACTCGCCTGAGGATGAGCTCGGTAAGAAGCCTCGGGGTTCTCCGACAGCCCCACCACAGGAGGCTTCAGGACGGGAAGTTTGGACCAGTTGGTTGGTTTGTTACGACGGCGCTTGATGATCCTCCTCACGACGTACTTTTTCCCGGCATCGTTCCCATCAGGCAAATCACCGAGCCACCACGCCGAAGGGTTCAATTCTTTCAATTTTTCGATGGACTGTGCCGATAATACGGATTCATTTTGAAAAATTCCTGAGCTTGATGGAACTATTATGTTATGAACTTGTTGAATAACACTTGAATTCTTCGGAGAACTTTCTTTTCTGTGCTTCAAGCCATTATTGACTGAAGTTTTTTCTGACTTTTTAGAATGAGCAACGATTTTATTAAACTTCTCAGGCTGCTCGCCGGAACTTTGAGGGAGCATTTGGTTTTTCTGGGTAACGATGAGGTCTACAGTGAGGGCTTGTTTCTCATTGTCGTCTTGAACGCTGACCTCAGGCGGCAAATCCGTACCATTGCCTCCTAGAGATTGCTCATTTTTAATTTTATTTTCCCCATCTATGATGATGTAGTCACCTTGGATGTGATATAATTCTTCCCTGTCATTCATAACTTGTGAAAGTGAGTCTGGGAACTTTCTGGTTCCTGTTGCAGTTACTTGACTTTTTTGCCCAGCAAAATATTCCTTCAAGTTTTCCAGCAAGTCTGGTCCTAAAGTATTGAGTACTTCTCTTGTTAAAGTTTCACTGGTTTCCCCGTGCTCGGTCAAGACTGTTGGTTTGTAGCCTTGACCGATGACTTTTGACCAGTCGCTGTCGTTGGCATGACTGACGAAAAGGACGGGGCGGTAGACGATCACGACGTGTTGAGGAGACCTCATCGACGAAACTGCTGGAGCCTGAGTCGTGGGTTCCTCAGGTGCAACCTCGGTCTGCTGCTCGACGTCGGCAATGTCAGAAATATTTTGAAACAAGATTTTTTCTGCGTGCTGGAAAACTTTACTAAAGTGCGTGATCATTGCGTTCATTGTCTCGAGGCTAGGATTTTCACCTATGATACTTGAGATATTCTCAACCATTTCTGACACGTGTTTAGGAATTACAAAGGGAACTTCAGACTGTTGACTGAGCTTATCTGGTGCAGCCATGGAGCCCGCGTTTACATGAACTGTTACGTGTTTTTTTCCAGCGAGTGCTGGTCGTTCCTCAAAACTAGCGGGAATCCCCTCGTCCAGGTGCTGGGCTAATCTTGTTAACTTTGACTGAAGCTGCGACAAATAATCGCTCTCTTGTAGATCATCATTCAGGAAAAGATCGATTTTTCCTTCTTCCTTGTCACCATCCGAGTTTCGGATTTCTAACTCATTTTGATTATAGACAGTTTGATCTAAAGCTGGCTCGGTATTTTCTAAGATAATTGTTGGTGACTCAGATGGCAATGATTGAGAACCGTGTTTTTCATTAGGGTGATAATAATCAAACTGTGCTGGCTGATCATTTACGGGAGGTTTATTTAGCTCTGATGCACTCGCACCCTTGAAAAGAATATCAATCGGAAGCGGTTTAACTTGCGATGGAGACGAAGGGTCCACGTAGGAAGCACTTAAAAAATATTTTGTTGGGTGAGACTCCGAGGAAATTTCAATGACCGATTTGACTCCGTCAACCATTTTTATTTGATTGTCGTCGCCAAATTGTATTGGAGAACCACCGGCGAGTACTTGCAGTATTTCTGGAGATTTTGCTTCACCCCACGTCGAAGGAGGAGCTCGGGCGGGAGGAAATGCAGGTTGTGGCGACAAGCCCTGTTCACTTGCTGCAGCGTCTGCATAGAAGTGAATGTCCTCAGGATAAGAATGTGTTGAGGGTTTGTTCAAGTTGTATGATTGAATTGTTTTCTGTGGAGGTGAGACGGGGCGATTGCGCTCAGTTGGCAGAGCAGATATTTCTGGACCGGCGTGTATTAGCTTTGCTCTAGACTTTATATTTATTGCAAATTCGTTTTTTGGTTTTGGATCGTAGCCTAATTCCTTTAACGCTTCAAGAGCTTCAGCAGGCAGATCTTTTAACCTTGTGTTCCCAAAATCTGATTGAAAAATTCTTTCACTCGATGGCTCTGACCTCATAGAAGGTTTTAAATTGTGCGAATCTAAATTTTCTTCTGCAGGAGATTCCAGTGAAGTTTCTTCAAGTTGTTTTCTTGTGGTACCTCTGACATACTCGTAAAAATTCTTGGAGAGGCCATCTTTTTCTTGCGAGAAATCATCAATAGGCACCTGTCCTAGAAGATTCCACAAGCCTGAACGGAAATTAACCATACGCGCTTCATCTTGGCCTTCGGGATTCTCTGCACGTACGGAACGACTTAGTGCCTGCCGACTCTGCAACCTCATGGCGGGATCAATGAAGGGTTGCAAACTGCGGAGGTCGTAGCCGACAGCGGGTTGCAGACTGTGGGGGTCGTGGCCGACGGGGATTCGCAGACTGCGAAGTTCGGGTTGGACACGGAGATGATTGAAGCCATCGGGATGCCCTACAGGAGCGCCATCAAAGGCAGGCCTCCTGCCATGCCCCTCCGCCGCCACGCATGTCACTGCAAGATTGGTTTGGATAAGAAACTCACAGCCCAACCTGGCGTCGCTCGGGTCTGATAATCCCTGAGATTGGCAAATCCTGTTATCGCAAAGCCTATCCCATTATCTCAAATCTCCTTCTAACAAGTCTATTTATAATAATTCCCATTGTCACCGTAGATTGAAAGACAAGAATAACTTAACCTAATTAAAGCCTACGCAGGGCCTTACAGAAGATTAGGTGAAGCTTACGAGGAGCCCGCGTGCATATGTCAAGTTGAGACAGAGTATAGCCAGATTTTAGAAAAAGTGAGGTCAATTTCAATCTCAAGTGACGCGTAAATAAAGCTTAAGTGGAGTAAGATTGAACATCGAGTGTTGATTGAGTGAAGCCAGAGTCAAGCAAAAGTGTCCCATTGCAGGGCCAAATTGAAATATGAATAAGGGCACTGTAATGCAACAGTAAATTATTAATCAAGCTTTTATAAGTGAAGTTTGATGCGAGCTAGAGTAAAGCCAAAACGTCGCAAAAGTGAAGCTGCACCGAAGCCATGGTGAAGACAGTGTGGAGCCTGACAGTAGCCAAGGTAAAAGAAAGAATGAAGCCAGTGTGTAGTGTAGGGAGAGAAAAGCTCATGTGGAACAGAATATGAAGCCGAAGTGAAATCCTATAGAGATGTAAAGAAAATGCAGGTATGGTTTGCGTATCATTAACGGGCCTTCAAACACGCAAATGAACTTTTGAAATTAAATAGTAAATAAAAAATATCAATATTAAATTAAATGATGAAATTCATGCTACATGAGGATATTTCTAAATAGGCTTTTTTACACGCCATTTTAAATTGCTTCGGCTGTAAATCCTCTCGATTTTATAGTAAATCAGAACACAGTCAACATATAAATAAATAAATAACAGTGAGAACAAAAATATTATACGAAATACTAAGTACGTCTTTCCATTGCGCGTTATTATAAAAATAGTTGTTCACAGTTGCATAACAAAGCTAACCAAAGCACATCGATTATTATTATTTTTTTTTGCCTGAGATCAGAAGGCTGAGCTCAGGATAACTTCCTCAAAAAACAACTGTCCAATTTGCAACAACGTTCTAGCTTTGCCTTGTGGTCCGCAACTAACCGGTTTGACTTTAGCTTTTGTATCATCAATGATCGCTACCAGTTTTTTAATCCTTTCGTGTCACTTCAATTCTTTTGAAAAACACCACGACGATCCTTTAAGCTGTCAAGCGCACGGCTCTCTCACTTGCTCAAAATAAATACAATTTCGAGAAAGAATTTACATTGTTTGATCCATTTGATCTTGTCAAGCGCGACCTGAACTGATGAATAACGCGCGGTCTGCGGGAGCTGCCACGGCTGTGAGAGCTGTGGCAGTTATGACTGCATGCCACGGCTGTGAGAGCTGCCGCAGTTATGACTGCACGCCACGGCTGTGAGAGCTGTGGCAGTTATATGACTGCCCGGCGATGATGACCGCTGCAACTGCGCCTACGCGCGAGGGCTGTTTTTACTACACATAAGCTCTTTAGACTTATTTATAACGCTTAAAATAATAGTTAGTAAATCATCAATAATTATATAAAACCTTTTTCGTTTGGGGTCCTAGAACGAACAATTACGCCGCTTCACAGCATATGCAAGCATGATTATTTTAAAACCAAGCATAGCAAACAAAAGAATTTCTTTGAATCTTTCTTTTAAGTTCTTTGCTCTAGGAGCAAGGGCTAAAGTTCCGTACGAAGCCATGAATATATTACAGAGACGGTGTTTCTATCACAATGCCCAGCAAGTAAACTTTTCGTAAGCTGATATCAGAGAAGTTCATAACATAGAACGCGCTCTGCCTCTGCGTCCACATGCTGCCACCGGCCACGCTTTTGAATAACGCGAGAATTGCATGGCATTTGAGCCAGGCGTCTCATTTCTTTGTTGGGCTTAAATGGAAAAAAATCCAAACCAAAAGTTTGTTTGAGAACTTCAGAAAAACTTAGTGAAATATTACACTGCGTTTTCCGTGGAGTTTCTCTAAAGCTTCTCTGAAACTCGTTTCAAAAAAATTGTTCAAAGTCTGCAAAAATCGCATTAGGTGCGAATATGAGCAGGGGCAATAGAATGCTTTGATCCTAATATAAGAGAGCAAAAAGTATGTACTTTGCATCACAGTCTGATTCTAAGAGACGATGGGGGGTTTGGAGCGCAATCAAGGCTTTCGAATGGCCGTTTGAAGCGCAGCAATTGTTGGCAGTACACCGCCGACCAGCCACGCTCGGCACGCTGATGCCTTCGTCTGGGCCGTAATTGCCATGGGCTGCGCCACGGCTCCAGGAAATGCAGCGGGCAGACCAACCATGTTGCCGAGCCTTGCTCCACGGCAACGCGTTTGATGACGTTCATCACTAAGTTCTTCAGAAGAGATGTGATGTTATGAGTTGGCAATGCTTTGAAGATGAAATGGAAATGATTAAGACGGGACGAATTTGAGAGATAATTTGACGAATGATAGGTTATATTTGAACTCTAGATCAAAAGAAATTTTTAGTCAAACAGGAAGTAAGGAAGAACAGAACGGTTCAATTGAAATATAACTTGAAATTCTGACATAACAATGCAAGGAGTGAAATTTGTGCATAAAATTATGCGTGTGTTTAACTAAATAACGGCATTGTTGACGGAATTGTTTCTGTGTCGTTCTTAGATTCTTCGAGTGATTAATTCATGATTTGTCAGTGAAATTTGCGTCAATAATAAAGAGATCTTTTAAATTTGTTACTGTGTTAATCTTCCACAACGCGATTATCATACAGAGTTATTCTAAATGATGAACCCAATTTATTCAATTCGTATTTACTAAATTATGAATTTGAAATAAATAACTTATTCATCAAAGGAAAGACAAAGGAGTCAAAGCCTTTTTTATAAATGTTCAATATGTCTCCCTTGTGCTGTACGGCAAACATCTAAACGGTAGCCAAACTCGTCCCACACACGAGAAAACACATCTTCTGTTACTGAGTGCACCGTAGCAGTAATACGGTTCTTCAGATCAATCAGATCAACGTTTTCGCAGAACATTTCGTACAGTTGGTTGGGGTATGCCAAGTTCTCTACTAGCTCTATATTGGTTGACTTCTGTGGACTATGAACAAGCTTTCTTCAATTCTTCCTCGGATCACGCGGTCGGCTTGAGCTTTTTCCTTTACACACTCTTTCACTTTGTTTAAATTTCGTAAACCAACGTTAATGCTATTTTTTGTCAGTGGTTCAATACCGAATTTGAGACGAAATGCCCGCTGCACTATAACTTGCGACTCACTTTATGCAGACCAAAGAACGCTGAAAAGCTTATGTAACTACCGCTACCTATGCCGTCGCCCAATTTCGCGTTTGAATAGGTTAAAGAATGAAATTTTCTCTTCCCATTGGCGTATAAATTATTTATTTTTAATTGATAGTCGAATACATACGAATTTATTAAATTGGGTTCATCATTCAGATTATCCCTGCATTAAATAATATTATATTGCATAATATAAAATTTTTGATCATGTTATGATATTTTATTCCAATATCACATGTTAATCCTTTCTATTAACGACTCTTTTTTTGAAATTTCCAGGCGGTTATCATTGAACTTTTTTACTTCGTGAAAGCAAAGTCAAAAATACCCTTTGATCACTCAATTGATTCAACGAAAATATTGGAAAATTAATTAAATCAGTGAAAAAGTTCCTCACTAAAGTTTTACCTTCAAAATTACCAGCGGGGTTCAAATATTTATAATATCCTCTAAATATATCTTTTAAATTGTGGCTTCAGTCCGCAAAAGCTTAAGATCAAGCTTTGAGAACCAGTGGACTGAACGCAAAATTCCTCCGTAGTGTCCCAACATGCCACTAGTGACCCTACACGCCACTAGAGACCTCAAATGTCACTAGTGTCCCCACATGCCACTAGTGTCCCCACATGCCACTATAGTGTCCCACATGCCACTAGTGTCCCCACATGCCACTAGTGTCCCCACATGCCACTAGTGTCCGCACATGCCACTAGTGTCCCCACATGCCACTAATTACCTCACATCCCGCTAGTGGTCCGCATGCCACCGAGAGGACCTGAATTGGTCACTCATGCTGGATTAATGGCATCATGCCTGGCCAGGGGTTAGGCCGTCACCGCAATAAAGCTCTCGCAGCAATAAAGCTTTCGGCTGCCGAAGCTATTTTGCTGTTGACTGACGAGCTTCCCTAACATTTCTGTTGTAGACTAATGTGTACAGCACTGCTGGAATATTAAACCTTCACAATATTGCTTATTGTGTATGACATAGAAAATATTGCTTACTGTGTTTCACAAACACCACAGGAAATGATCGGATAAACTAGCACTGCTTTCAGGCACACTGAATGTATTGTGGCGTCTAGGTTCATTGTTAGTAATTAATTACATGAAAATACATTCTTTACGATTAGAAAGTTACGTCAAGTTAAATTAAAGTCTAAAAATGAACGTCACCTTGAACGCAATTCCAAGTTGACCTCGTCCCGATTTCCATCATTTTCTGTTCATTACCCAAGAACCTCGTATACCAGTAAAAACTCTGAAGCCTAGAAATTGCTGTTTTGTTAATATAAATCGCATATGAAATGGATATTGGTATATAGAGCGTCTATTAGAGTATAATTTTCTTTGTATAAATATCTAATAACAAAGAATGATTTGTTCATGAGGGCTTCAATTCCTGGATTGGAAAATGAAAGAAATGCGTACCTGTCATCCTAACCTCGACAATTTGAGCCAAGCAAGTTGGCCGTGCGCTGCAGTATAAACGAGCATATATTCCCCTGTTCTCATCCAAATAGCATGAATTTGTTGGACTCGGATGGAACAAATGAGATAGGAATACGCAACCACATTCTTGTTAGGCAACATTGTGCATTTTAGCATATAATCTTTTTTATTTTCCATCTTGACCGCCAAGAAATGATCAAGAGGACGAACTCATAGCTCTCATTTTTATATTTGTGTGGCGGCTGCTGCAAGCTTCAATCGCGTTGCGGAGTTGGAATCAAGTGCAGCTTTCCCACCGTGTTGGCTTAAGCCCTTCAAAGAAAAAGTTATGCCTCAGATATACAAATTCTTTCAGATCGTAGTGAAGAAATATTTGCACAGTTGTCGCATTTTTTGATCACGCGCTCTTTTGTAGAAGTTTTTGCCAAGTTTCCTAAGAAATCTTTCCTGTCGGGTTTGATGTTTCTCGCTGCCGGGAAGTTTTTTCTCTCCACCAAGCAATGGTAGCAGCAGCGGTATTTGTGTTTCAAAATTCTTCTTATTTTTTTTTAACTTTTTTGCTGGCTGTTAGAGAAAAGAACGAGCTTTCTTATACAAAATTACCAAGAACTCGACAGGAGATTGAGTTGTCTTTAATGCGAATGCAGCTGAATACACTTAATGCAATTAAGATTTCATTTAGCCTCCTTTCTTTGTTGCATAAATAACTTTGACTTAGAGTTAGTCTTGCATTAAAACTTCAAATTCATTTTCTAGATTTATACAAGCTTTTATTTTGTATGAACGCAGAGCTGGTACTGAATTTCTTAGGCCAACGTAAAACCATAAAATTAATTAGCTGGTTTTCTTTAATTTTGAATTAATTCTTTTTGTAGCAATTGAGCGAGCACTGAGAGACAAATGATAGCTTTAACCAAGAGACAGCAAATTCTAACAAAGGAAATGAACCAATGCAGCTTTTTAATGCTTCACCAAAGCTGTATTTGCTTCAAACATCAACGTACTGTTTTCGACTCAAATTCTCACTTTATCTGTGACTTTTCTGCTGTATTATAACAAAAGTTTCGTCTACTGTTTTTTCAAGCAACTTTACGTTATGAATTATGAAATTTACAACCCGATGAAAAACATTTCGGATGCAGCTCAAAATATTCACAGTGAAAAATCTTATTGTTCATCTGATTCATAATTTTATAATTTATGGAGGGAGTATTTTTTTTTCCTTTACCCACTGATCGAAATCTAGATTGGACCTAATCTACTTCGAGAATAAAATCACTTTTAACATACGTAGATTGATTTGATAAGTGACCATTGGGGTAGTGTACAGACATATTTAATCTATTTTAATGCCTTACAATCTATTTTAATGCCTTAATTAATGTAATGCCTTACATTCACAATTTTTACATCCATGAAAAAGTTATTTGTTTGATACTCGTACAATTAGCTTGGTCTCAAATTAATTCTTACTTACTTAATGAAAAACCCAGCAGTAGCCTGGCGAGAGAGGAGAGGGCGATCGGACGGCACATTACGATGATTTCTTCAATAATTTTTTTGTTCAGTAAATCTTCATTAACGATGCATTCAGCCTGCTCACGAGGATCCTGGAAATTATTTTATAATTAGATTCAAAACTGGATATTCATCACCGGAGAAACATACAATCATGAACTTTTTATGAGATAAGCAATCAACGATTGATAAATTGCAGTGAGAAAAGCAATTTACTTCTTCCGAAAAATGTAACGTTGCTGGAAAATTGAAACATTTTGAGTTTTAATTTAATATTGAGAACGCTTATATGAGCGAGACAAATCCCCGATACCTTCTTTAATGGCTGAAAGAAATAACACTCGAACATTATTTTAGCGGAAAATGTTTCCCATTAGCTCTAACGTAAATATTCTCTGGCAATACTCAGAAGGATATTTCAATATAAATTAAACACAAAAATCTTCTCAGAACAGATGAAAGAAGTATTGTCTATCATTATGCGTAGGAATAAATCGTTAATGGCCCTTCGCAAGAATGATTTTATAATTAAAAGAGGGAATTGCTGCGTCCATGAATAGTAAATTCTTCACTGTTGTTGAAATTCAACATCTTATTTCCGCATAAGCTTTATTTTCTTATGTTGTCATTATATAACTGCTGGGAACTGAGTGTGCGGCTCACAGAAAACAGTTAAAAGAATATACCTTTAGTATTAGACATAATACATACGCGCAGCTTTATTATAAAGTAATGCGTCCTACACTGGGTGGAAAAAAAAATAATACTAGTATTTAGTTAAAGTTAATACCTACCGCCTAAAATATATTAATATATTACCAGGATTGGGTTGAATCTAAGTAATCTGTCTTACACTTATATAAATTATTCGAATATCTTTTTATATGACGTATTGTAATACCTTCATAATGTAGTTAATAAATTATCAGTGGACTGATGAAAAAACCTGGAAAATTGAAAAAATCAGAAGTTGTGAATATCGGCTGAAATACTGTAAAATATTTTGTTACGTTAATTAAAAAACGTTTGTATTGCTGAGATAAAGTTTCTTGAGATATAAGGTATAAGAATATGCAATCAACACTCTAAAGGGATAAATCATTAGTATTGATTGATTGAATATGTCATCATAATGATTATTGGTTGAAATTATATGACAACAGAACTAAACAAAATTAACTACAAGTAGCGGGTTTTAAGGGTTATCCTTTAAATTAGAATCCGTCAAAATATCACTAGAAAAATCATCTCTATTTGTCGGGCATTCAAGTGACCTTCATAAAATTGGCTCGAAGTGAACGTAATTATTCATGATCGAAAATAATATATTTAACTTAGGTTCACAGGAAATTTCTTTATATTTTCTTCAATTGATTATCACCAGTAATAGTTTGACGGAATACCCTTTAGCATTGATTCGAAAAGAATAATTAGTAATGACAAATATAATAATATTTTCAAATAATAATTTGTATAATTATAAAATTTATTATAATTATTTCCATCGGACTTCCACATCATCGGTTTAAATCAGACACATCAGGCATCGGTCAAAAGAAGCAAGCCCTTTAAAGTTAGTTAAAACTATTCTATAAAAGAATAACTGCCGTGAAATTAGCCTGCCTCGTCCAATGGACGGAGCATTCTTATAAAAAGAAGTCACTCGTCAGGTTTTAATCGCTCAGGGTTAGATATTTTTGTCGGAAAATTTCACTTTTACAGTCGATCACCCCAAATAATTGCTCAAAATTGACATCTAATTAAATAATTAGTTCCCCCGGTTAATTTCACCACGCAGTTGTAACAATTTTCAAACTGATCTGCAGCATCGCGCTCAATATCAATCATCCAGGTATAATGCATTCTATTTAGCAGGGTATTGATACAACCTCAATCATCCTTGTATTATTGCATTGATGATCTTTATGATATTGACATTTCAACCGCAAAGGGAATGGAAAAATCCTTAATTTTCAATGTGTTAATACATTCCTAACCCTGAGGTTTCAATACATTCTCAAAAGGTAGGTATTTACACAAATCAAAGTTGAATAATTATTGGTAGATCGCCCTATCGAAGTTTTTCCGCTATATCAACTTTAATGCTTGACAGTTTTCTATAGCAACTCTTCTGCAATAATCAAGCCTTCGCTTACGTTCGTGGTGCAGATTTTTCGTTCAGCTAAATTGCATTTTTATTATTTATATTTTGAAAAATTCAAAATTTTTTATTGCCATCAAAAGCAACGTAATGTGCATTTTTTTAAAAGAACGACAGCAACCCTCCCCCGAAAAAAAAACGATGAAAAAAACCTATAGGATTCCATAATGGCATTAGGAACAAGTGACCGTTTAGATTTATTCATATAAATATAAGCTAGGTATATGAATCATGCAATATATTGTGAAGTGAGAGCTCGGACGCCATCACTCGCATCTCAACGTGGCCGCAAAAACTCGTGACTGACGCTGACGATAATTGTGCGACGCTGCGGCCAAGTGAGGCGTCGTTTTCTAAAGTCAATTTTTTGTCATGAGTTTAAGAATAGATTGTGCTGAGTAGACTCCTGCGTCTCGAAATAACTTTCTCGAAATGAACCGGGACAGACGAAACGAGACGAGAAAATTCCGGGAAAAAAATAACGGGACAGAGGGTAAATTTTGTCCCGGAATAAACGTATGAACCGAGACAAGACTTCTGTCCTGGACTTTAAAACTTGTGTCCCGGTAAATTATGAACCGGGACGAGACAGACAAATTTGAAACGAGACATAATGAGACGAGACGAGGTTTGTCTTAATTATTTAGGACAAAACAAGTTTTTCGATTACGATGCGAATCATTTCGAAAACATGGGCTGAAGAATGACAAGTTAGCCCTCTATTGCTAATAGGGCCATAGACAGTTGCCAGTTAAATAGAGTTAATTGCAGATTTAGCAAAATTTGTCTGACTAACTGACATGGCAGTTAACTTAGTGGTCCGACAAACATCGCAAACCTGTCGATGTATGCATGGCTGAGTATTGAGTCAAAATTGATACTCTTAAGTCTTAACTAAGGCTTCAATGGCACTTATGGGAACCGTACGAATATGAGTCGAGTTTATTACGCGTTCGGAACGAGTTCAGGCACCGTGGAGCGCATAGGGAGTAGGCACTCAGTGCCTAGATTAGTCGGCTAATTAGTAGACAGTGGAGTGGAGTCGTTGCAAGATATTCCTAATAATACTAAAGCTAGTATTAGATTATCTCTGCCTTTAGTAAAATTTTGTGCTACGCCTCCAAAAAATCTTCACAATTGTGCAGTTTCCTGAATTGTTATGAAACACTTGGGCTTGTTTAACGTTATTTAGAAAGGATACACATAGATATTTCGAGTCTTTTTTAAGATCAAACTATTATCTTTTTTCCAACTTAAATTTTGTTGTATTTTAAAATGTTGTTGATATTTCTTTCCAAACTTTTTTGTTGAAGGAGATTGCTTAAGGCAAGATCAATGAATCTGATTCTGTGATTGAGCTGGAGGCAAATCAAAGTCTGTCCAGTCAGCCGATGTCACCAGCTACAGCTAGTATAGCCTCCTCCAAACCATCATAGAACACAATTTTTGAAAAAAACGTATTTTTCCATTTTCTTTGCTTGTCAAGATTAAGTACCATATTAAACCACAACGTGTATTCGTAGCAAAAATCATATCAATTGCCGAGCTCCAATCAGAATAGTAAAAGGATACGTCTCAAGTTATTATATAAATGCAGAGGTGGGCAGTAGCGCGCTACATGTAGCGGCCGCTACATTTTCAGTAGCGGTAGCGGCGTTCCATTTAAGCAATTGTAGCGGTAGCGGTAGCGCCCGCTACATGTTTAAGTACCCGTAGCGCATATTATCCAGCGCTACCGCTACATTTATAGAGAAAGCCTTTAGATTTTACTTAATAGTATTAAATATTATTTAAAAACCAGCATGATACATACATAATATAAATTACAGAATAAAACTGTACGAAAGATTTCGGTGTAATGTTGTCAACCTCAGCCTGTTACTAGTGTCAACATGTTTGTTGTTACCAGAGGTGGGCAGTAGCGCGCTACATGTAGCGGTAGCGACGCTACATTTAAGCAATTGTTGCGGTAGCGGTAGCGCCCGCTACAATTAGAGCATGTAGCGGTACGGGCCGCTACATTTCAAAGAAGCGCTGCCCAGCTCTGTATAAACGTATGATGGGAAGCCAAATTTTACACCACATCAATAATTGATTAGTCTCGTGATGTCTCGTTAATTAAAATGGCCATAAATTTCGGGAAATTTTAAGGTACCTATTTTAACCGGGATGTCTCGTCTCGTCTCGGTATCGTCCCGGAATTCCTAAGGAGTGCTAAATATTGTCCCGGTTTTTATTGCGAACCGGGACAGAGCCTGTTGTCTCGTCTCGTCTCGGATAAAAAAAAACCAAACGCAGGAGTCTACGGGGGTGCTTGCGAGGATCAATCTGATAGCCAAATGCCTCGTCATCAAATTAGTGACGCACATGAATTGAGATTCCCTCTGTCCCTATCTAGATTCTGGCGAATCCAGAGTCAAGGGAACAGACTTGCATGACCTCAGCGGGAACCCTTGTTGAGCTTGACAGTCTTGACTTAAGTCGGAATTTGTAAGGAAACATCGGATCGGAAACATCGCAGGCTAAGTTGGAGCCAGCGCAAGTTGCCGGCATGTGAATTATCAATACTCCCTTCGTTGCCGTACGCTACTAGGTAATCGTGAGAGCAATGTGAATGCCTAATAGACGCAAGGCGATAGCTATGCGTCTTTGTGCTTCTTTAAAATCACCTACCGAGGACAAATTCAGGAGGGCAGTTTAACTGGGGCGGTACATCTTTTAAACAATAACACAACACACACAAGCCTGCACTCAAGTTTGCGTGGGGCGTTATTTGCATCATTGGCCGTGCGTGCGAGGGTAACTCACAACCGAGCAGACCGCACTTGGGTAGCGTTGCACGTGTGCTGGAAATATTTCACGCTTTAACAAGTCCTACTCAGCAACGAGCGTAGCCTGGAACCAACGCTCGGTTGAGCGTGTCCGGGATCATTGGTTTGGTCGTGACGTTCCTCTTGTACTGGCCACGACTTCCATAGCCGCCCGGGCTCGTTGTGGAACGGAGGGCACGGCCGCCGTTCCACAACGCAAATGGGCAACGAGCGGCCATACCCAGAAACCACAGTTGGGTAAAAATTTAACCTGTCTCGCGACAGACAAGCCGGTGGTCAGACAGGCAAGAATTGAGAGACTCCGTTAAAACCAGTTTGACGACCCTATTTGTCGCACAATTACCGATGACGGGGTAAATGTGTTTCTTAACGTGTCTGCCAGAGCGCAAAAGGCAAGGCGTACCGGTGAACCGTGCCACCGAGAGCCCTTTCTTGAAAGAAGCACAGATGGCGACCTGGCCAGTCTGTTGAGCATTTCTTCGGATATGATATACAACCTCGGGCGCTGTATGGTGAAGGTAAATGCCCGCAAAGTGATAACTGCGGCCTTCGAGATGCAAAGGCGTGACAGCACAGTGGAAAGTGCGGAGGACAGCCAAGGCGACTAAAGCAGCGCCTTGTTTAGTCCAGGGTACTTCTGGTAGCAGGCGAACCGGTTCTGCTATGTCTATTGACCGTGGCGATTCCGCTTCGTCAACTGATGGAGAAGATTTTGCCACGAGCTCACACAGGTGGGTTGATGGTGTGAATGATATACTTGCTCAATCACGATGATGAATATGCTTCATATACTTGCCCATCGCTAGCAAGCGTTGACCAAATGATTGGTCTGGCTTGTGTGTGTGGCTGATAAATGTCCTTCTTTCGAACACAGGACGTCACGTACGGGAAGCCGAAACCGCCCAAAACGGCTTGTCGCAGCACATGCTGGACAGGAACAAATTGAGTGCCTTATTCCTTCATGTGATGGACTCACCAGACCACACCAATTGAGGCGGCACTATGAGATAACTCACAGATTTTCCCATGAACATGGCCGTGCCATGAATCAGTTCCATCGTTGTCTGCAGGAGATTGATCGGGGACAAATATTTGCACCTAATCTCACAGTACTTGAGCAGGGAAAACATTTGTATGTTTTCTTTCAGACGTACGTCAATTCAGAGATCGAACTTCCTGTTGCAAGCGTTTCAATGAGGAATGCAATCATGCAAATTTCGCTCCTGTCTGCCCTGACGGATGGCTGTGGTCGAGGTACACTCATGCTTAATCTTGTTTTAAGGTTCTCGCCACATGTGCCTTAGCAGGCACCTGCCGAAGTTCGGGCCGCAGCAGCAGCAGCCCGAAACTTGAACTTTGGTATTAAGATCACTTGACTGCTTAAATCGCAAGTTTATCAAGAATTTCAAAGCAAAGAAAATAGCCAGAAAATTAACCATTTTTTAAAAAGGAAAGCTTTTGGAGTCCAGCTTCGTCATCAGTTCAAAACCTAAAACACAGGTACAAACAATTAGCAAATAAATTCACATTGAAACATAAATCGTCAAATGAAAACAATTAAGAATGCAGTAAATATGGGCAAACAAACCTATCTTTTTACAATTTCGAGGGGATATGAGCTGTTGGCGGCATTTAAACTAGGCTTTTCTTTAAAAATATAAAGGGACTCTAAAATTCGCAGGTCGGAAACACCGGTCGTAGAGGCTAAAATTCGAAAATCAATATCGGATAACGGCACGTTGCACTGCTCGGCATGAATGCGTATACTGCTATAAGAAGGGGATGCGCAAAAAGGTTTCCTGTTCTAAAACTCCTTCCTTTATGCTCCGCCAGCCTAGTATAAAAATTGCGAGATGTCATACCGACATACGCAGATGAGCATAGCGCACAACTATATTGATAAACTAGGGACGATCGCATTGGAACAGGAAGTGTATCCTTATACTTGAAAAAAGAACTGATTTTAAAATTATTCACCAGCAATACATGAAGATTTACATTTGGAAGGTATTTAGAGAACAAATCTTTCAACTCTTTAGCCATTGACTCCGATGCGGGACCAAAGTAAGGAACTGAACAATAAACAACATTCTTATCGTCACGTTCGGGAGCAACCTCAGAATATTGTTTAGACTGAAATTTCTTAATTTGGGTGTAAACCAATTGCGACGGTAACCCATTAAGTGAAAACGTACAGCGTAGAAATTCAAATTCAGAGAGCATAGTATGGAAAGTAGAGCAAATACATAAGCCTCGGTTCATTAACGTATGAATCTCATTTAATTTGAAACGAAATGAACAAAAGCTAAAAAGCTGGTGCTTGTAAGCCGGTAAACGTCGATTTTCGGTAAACAGATATCTGAAAACGGCCATTTGATTTTGTGACATTGCAATCATGAAAAGAAAAACTATTGTTTGATTCAAGCTCGATGGTAAACTTGATGGATTTGTGCTGGAGATTAAGATAATCAAAGAAAAGGCCTACATGAGAGGGATGATTGAAAATTAAAAAAGCAAAAAAAAAAAAAAAGAAAAAAATATTGCGAAGGCAAAATCTCAAAAATTGTCATGAGCTTAACATCACCGTTGGGAGGTTAGGTTTGTATATTCAAAGTTTCGTTCAGATATGTACAGTAGTTTAGAAGAAATGTCTTGCTCACTGCGAATTTCGGCAGGTATCGCCACATAACTCACAAATGAAAGTGAAATTCCAAATTTTTTTTCAAGGTAAACATCACCGTTAGGTCCTAATAAATACGGCCGCGAGACTGGCCGTGAACTCCAGACTTGCAAGCAAGTTCTGGTAAACAACGGTTATGCGAATAAAACTATCGACGACGAAATCTCAAACAATCTAGCACGTCAAAACCAAACGGACATTGAACCAACATCCAACAAAAGTATTATATTAATTTATTACCAAAACCAGATGACTGAAGGTCATGATACTGACGAAAGAGTCCTCAAATCAATTCAGATAAAGTGAAAAGTTCGAGCAATAAAATACGGTGCTTTAATCGAACTTGCCTGAATTATTACGTTATCACAGTACATCAAGGGCCAGAATAGTCATCATGACTCGTAATCTTGTGGCAAGTCATGCTGCTCTCGAGTGTCAGCTGCATTGTAGAGCTGCGCTACCATACAATTATTTAATGTTCGAATTATTACATGTTTTCAAGAGAAACCGAAACGTGTGATAAGAAGACCACTTGTCCGTGAGTTGCAGATAAAAGTCTATAAATAAAACCTTGTTGATAACTCATTATGTTTGAGTTTTTAGCGCATTTTCTCATTTATGGAAAAAGGCGCTATTGTGCTCGTCATGTCAGTCCGTCTGTCAATCTGTTCGTCCGTCCGTCTGTCTGTCTGTGACTTCACGTTTTCGTCGATTTTAAGAAAATGCGCTCTCTGTCACTCAATGCAGTGAGTACTGAGAAATATTTTTTTTTCACTTGATAGAATAGTCTAATTATAATACTATATCAAATTGTTTGGTGAAGTTTCTTATCTTAATGTGAAGAGATGCTTCACGGGTGTTTTAGTAAAAGCTCTTATCTATGTCAAAAACAATCGTGTACATTAACACCGCATTCATCTTCAGACTGATTTTGAAGATAACACTAACACTATTATGTGACCTGGGAGAAAGCAGAACTTGAACGAGCTCAAGATAAGAGAACGCAACGTTCGTTATTAATTCTGGAAGCATTGTCGCCAGCCATGCCGAGTCTATCTACTATATAGGTACCAAACGGTCAAACCATAGTCCACTGGTTAGTCGATCGGCATCGACTAGCGCTGTGCCATGGTGCGGCTCTCAAAACGTAATTTTTCATACATAAGTACTTATATCATTTGTCACTTTAATTCGTTAGATCATCATGAATATTAATGCAAAGAAAACGTAAATTAAATTCGCCATATCTTTCGTGTTTTAGATTTTATAGTTGATTGTACTCATATTATTTAATTTTTGAAGCAATGATGGAGCTGGTGCCTCAAGAGATGTAGAGGATTTACCTTGCGCTTTCTTGGCTTATAAATTATTGGTTTAATTTTTCCGATGTTCTTCTGAGGAATGAGTTTGGAATATTATCAAAGGTTTTAAGTTATTTTATGATTTGAGGTGCTGCAAGTCAAAGCACCTATAATTTATTAGAATATGGTATGGTGATATTGCGACTTGCTATACAATCCCGAAGTTAAAGCATATAATTTGATCATTTCAGTTTTTTTCTTTCTTCCAAAGCACGTACTTTAATGACGAGACCTATTTGTACACACGGAACTCCACAATACATTCGTAATTTTAATAGTAATTTCGTTCGATTCCTCCATTGCAGAGATATTTGACAGATTCTAAAGCTTTTTACACACCACAAAGATGTTGGCTTCAAGCAGATCAGCCCTCGCCTCCGCACGCCAGTGCAGGCAAATGTCGCACGCAAGCAACAAACTCAGCGGTCAAGTGGCCGTCCTCACCGGCTCCACTGACGGGTAAATAATCTTCTCCACAATCAACCTAAAGAATTTATTAGCTATTTATTTGAAGAAAACATTATTATAAGGACGATATCATTTTGAATGATTAATTAATGATTCACGAGAAAGTTCTTCATTGTGTTTTTTTACGACCATAACTTAATTGGGTTAATGCCGAGATCAATGTGCAGAATTATTTTTATATTTATTGTCACCGGAAGGTTTCTTTAGTTCAACCGTCAGTGTCATTTTAAACAGTCAGTATGATTATCATTATACTCCAATGAGACGCAGTTTCAAAATCATTCACATTTCCCATACTCCGGTAGATCATTAACAATTTAGTTTGTTTTTGTCTTAGCCTGCGTCGCCTCTACGTTGTACTATCTGAAGCCTATTATACGTCATTTACTCCTTGCATTAAGAACCTGATTGACATTGACTCAAACATTTTCCTATGTCATACAGTTGTTTACCTAAAACTAGCCGTGATAGCATTATAAACTAATTAGAAATCGAAGCCTTATTTCTCGATGTGCATAAAAGCTTTCTGCTAGCATTTTTATTTTAATTACTAAGCCGATCTGTGGACGGATTTGAGATAAGCTGGAATATCTCATATCTAGTAGCATTGATATACGCTACAAAAACTAGCCAGCCAGCTCTCCGAAGTTCAATTCACGATAAAGGTTGTGAAATTATTATTTATTTGGAAAATTATAATTCGTTAACCACGTACACAAATCGTGTTAACTACATAGGATTGGTCTTGCGATCGCGAAGCGCATGGGCCAGGAGGGCGCGCGCGTGGTGGTAAGCAGCCGGCGGAGCCACAACGTGGAGCGCGCCGTGCAGGAGATGCACGACCTCGGCTTGAAGGACGTGCTTGGCGTGCAGTGCAATGTCGGCAAACCCGAGGACAGGCACAACTTGATCGATCAGGTTAGTGAACTGTTTACTATTGTTTAAATGATTATCATTGGCGTGCAGTGCAATGTCGGCAAACCCGACAATGTTGATCCCACGACTGGTCAGTTACAAGTTGTTCATAATTTAATTGGTAAATATTGGGCAAAACTGTCGGTTGATTAAAAGAAGTATCTGGAAATTCCGCTTGACAGGCGAGACTGTCCAGCGAAAATATAACATGCATCGTGACATGTTTACTGCGCAGCCACATGCGCGTAAATGCTTTATTAGGCTCAATGAGAAAAATGTATGACACAAAAAAAATATTTATATATGAATGTTCTGCATGTTTACATTCACGATTAGCACAATATTATTTTTAATGGTAATTCATATTCTTCTCTTACGAATGTGTTGCTCAAGAAATTACTTTCTGATTTGCAGGCGGTTTGCAAGTGGGGTGGAGTTGACATTCTCGTGACGAATGCAGCCGTGAATCCGGCGACAGGCTGGCTGCTAGATGTAGGCTAAACAATTAATATGGTTTTTATACGCTTTATAATTATCTTCATAATTAGTCATTCATATATTTTTTGCAACTATCTTGAGCTTAACATTTGGTGTATCACTATGCTTATTCATTTATTCCACGTAAATTATTGTAAACCTAAAGCTACAAACTATCTGCGTTCATTGACATCAAGAGCGCGTTACAGCTAAAGGGTGTCATGAATTGAACCTTGAAGTGGCCTGGAGCTGACTTACCCATCTATTTCTCCAGTCTATTGACTGCTAATATGTGAATTCTTCAAAGATTTCAAAAAAATCCGTCTTGTTGCAACAGTCCAGTGTTACGTTTGTAGTTTGCTTTACATCTTGGCTACCCAAATTTTAAAGATGGAAAAGTAAAGGTAAATACGAGTATGAGTAAACAAATATTGTTCAAGAACAAATCTAGATAAACAGCGATTTCAAACCCTTACTAGAAGAATGAGTGGCGAACTCGCAGCTGTTAATATAATTTCCGGAACCTTCTTACTTTGCACGCAAGTTCATCTCACTAATTTTTAAAATTAAATCACATATTTTCTGGGGGTTAAAAACTTCAGATTTTTCTTGCTGCACCATCTTGACTCTTAAATTTTACTCTACATCACAGTTTTTTCTTATGCAAACTTTAAATATGAGCATAGGTTTGGTGACAATTCGTAGAAATACGGAACAGAAAACAGAGAATTTTCACGACTAGTTTCTGGTTTCGAACCAGACCTACCAGCCAGGCAGGTCCAATCATGGTTATGTAAACTACTTGGTCACCCCAAGCTCCAGGATCTTCAATTTGAATTATAAGCTTATAATATTATGAGGCTGGAGACCTCATGGTTTTCAGGTCACCACGCTTAACACGAATCAAACTCAAATACTTCAATGCAGTGCAACCCAATTATAGCGGCCTAATTCTTTGTGCTTTCTTAGGAACGGAGAAAATTCTGATCACAGGACTTGCCCTTATTATTTCTCAAGTAGATATAATAATGATCAATTTGCGTTCAACATCTAAGGAACTAAGTTTTTACACAATAATGAATATCTTTGTGTATATTTTAAATTTTAGTTCATGTCGATAGCACGAGTAAATCTGAAATACTGAGAAAATTCGATTAGAAATATTTCGAACTAACGGTGCAAATTGTGTGCAGTGTTCGGAGTCAGTGTGGGACAAGCTCTTCGACATTAATGTGAAGAGCACGTGGGCGCTCACGAAACTCGTCGCACCGCACATGCAGAAGAAGAAGAAAGGGTCCATCATTTACGTATCCAGTGTAGCAGGTTTCGGTGGAATCGTACCCAACGCTGTACGTACCTTCAATTACTGACCGTCAAAAGAAACAATTATTTTTTCATACCTGAACTCGCTGCTGATAAAAGTGTCATTCATAGATAATCTAAGGTTGAACGTGTGCGATCATATTAGTTCTAGATGCGAGAGAGACATATACTTCTCAGCAATTCAAACAAATAACGCATCTTACAAAAGAGGTGTAGTTAAAATTACTATTTATGATCCATTTTTATGATCGTAATTTATCTTTGATAACATTTTTCTCAATAGGCAATGAGCGGCTACATCGTCAGCAAGACTTGCTTGCTGAGCATGAGTAAAATGGTCGCTCAGCAACTCGCTTCTGACAACGTGCGGGTGAACTGCCTCCTGCCTGGCCTTTTCAAGACCCGTTTCGGCGAAGTGGTGAGTGTATTTCACGGGAATTCTCGAAAATAGTTAAAAAGTTTGCTGGGTTGTGATTGAGGGAAGTATGCCTAAAAGTTATGCTAACGGGGTAAAGGTTTATGGTTTATATAATATAAATATTATAGTATATAAACGCAATAGGTTTATGTGCACAATCCCAAAAATACTCCCGATTGAAACCGTGCCAGACACATCGAACCTACACATTATTTTGATGTATGTTTCTTTTCAGTTGCACGCGGACAATGAAATTTCTAAGTTTATGCTTCCAACCATCCCGATGCGCAGGTGAGTTCAAAGCAGCTAACATTTTTGGATTAAAAATTAAAAGATGTAATAGCTTTAACATTTTTTACCGAAGTCATGAAATAAACATCGTTTTTCACATTGATTTCTGGCTCCTCTAGATATTTATTCTGCTAAATTATGGCAGGTTTGGTGAACCTGACGAGATCGCAGGCATGGCCGCCTTCTTGGCCTCGGATGACGCGTCCTACATCACAGGGGAAAACTTCGCGGTCGCCGGTGGCATGCAGACCAGACTCTAGACCAGACTAGACCAGACTCTGAATCAGACTGAAGACCAAACTGTAGACTAGATTCTTTAAAATTGTATGGTCATGACCCACAAGGGGGGCAATGAGTATTACTGGGGGATATGCGGGATCTAGCTGAATGCTTCCTCCACGGCGATTAATATTTTAAATGTGCCTGAGCCGCCTAATATTAGGACGTTTGTAGGAGGCATACAAATGTGGGGGCCATAACAGGTAATTGGTGCTTCTGAGAGGAGTTCATGCACTGAGCCAGGGTCTGAGAAGCATTGCTTTTGACACTCGTTAATGCTGGTTATGCGTCTCCACGTCATTGTTGGCCTAACACTATAATGACAAAGAAGCTACCAAGAAGAATAATGTGCAGTATCACATACCGTTGTCAGTTTTATAACCATAATTATTTTTCACTCCAAAATATTTTTCAGGAATTATTCTCGAGTTAGATAGTTTGTTGAAAATTGGAGTTTGAAGCAATGTAAATCAATTATAACAATCATTCAGACCTCAAAAAAGCGGAATGTCGGCAACCAGTTCGTCGTAGTACACCGGAAACCAATGAGAGTGCATGATATTTCTACATTGTTTCAAAATAGCACTTTAACTCATGGAGGTTTAAGATGTTGTCAATATTCTATGACGTGATACATAAATATAAGATTCATCGATAAAATATGCTTGCATTCAGTATATTAAATGGATCAATTATCTTGATATTACGTAATATATTGATATATTAAGCTCAGCTAGGGAAAGATAATTGTTTTGTGAATCTACTACACTGTACTTGACTATAACGTAAGTTAGGTAATGAGTGACGTTATTCGTTTGAATAGAAATACTTAATAAGCTTCCTCTGTGCGAGGAGAAAGACGTTTTCTTCTATACCAGGGGCCATACTTTCAAAATTCGCTAAGTGAACGTAAGTACTTACGCTCTATTTTCCTGTCTATGATTGGTGGATTTTGCTTGAAAAGCCGTCAATGATTGGTGGATGGACTTACGATCTCTTAACTTTTTTGAAAGTATAGACCCTGATATGAGCGAGCAATGAGTGGTGAGAAGGACAAGAAATCAACCTGACCGTTTAATTACTGAGGTATTGTAAAATTCTACATCTTAAACTAGCATCTATTAAAGAAATTTTTGAACTTAGTGACCCCATTCTACGTCAACCGCAACCAAACCATTTCGTTGTGAATTTTGTTCTAAATCATTGAGAACCATTTTTTAGATTACCTGTTTTAAGGCTTCATATTTTGCCTTCAATTTTTGGGATCAAAGAGACTCCTGGCAATAAGGTTTTCTAGTTTTCGATTTATCAAGAGAGATTTTTTTTGCATCTGCCACACATGCGTGCACCGAGAATTGTTACATTCTGACGCTCAGTGACTCTGCCTGTTCAATGTGTTCATTCCAATCATCAAACAACCCTAAACAATTCCACTTATCGACTGAATTCAAGTGTTCTCATATTGTGGTGTTCGAATATCAGAAGTGCTCGTTTGTTAATGTATCATTCAATTGACGCTGAACTAGTCAAAGATATTCTATGTTGTCACGTCCTTTGATTTAAATACTGACATGGTCTCAGTCGACCATACTTCGTAGCCGAGAGAGCCAAGATAAGTGTCAATTTATTTGGGCATTCAAAGTAAGAGCTGCGTTCTGTCGAAATGAAGAGAAGTTGTATCGAACTTTTATGATATCATTTAGCTCATTACATTTCTTCGTGATTTTTGACAAGACAATTCGCTAGCTTCATTATTAATTGTTAAGGTGACTAATGACGCAGCAATCTGCCTTGTATTATGTTACAAGCATTCGATTGTTAAGCTAAATTACGATTTATTTTCTTGTTACGTTTACTTGTTGTCTGTCGAACGTATGCTTCTTGCGTGTCTAGTCGTATTGACTGCAGGGACCAAAGTTCCTTGCTAACTAATAGTTAAATTAGAAAATGTTCTTCTATTTCGTTGAAAATCATCAACGATAAATATGCCTGAAAATCCCTACACTAGAGTGCTGATGATGACAGTTAAGGGCATAATTGCTCATTGCACTTACTTATTAGACTCAACTTCGAATTTCCCAAGCTTTTTATTTAACTATGCTAAAATTAACAGAGTATATTTGGCCTCAAAAAGGAAATTTCGTCGGCTCAGTTGCCGCTATTTAAAACCTGACCAGGTGTAAGATATTATGGAAGTTTTAATTAGTAATAACATAAAACTCTTAGATAGTAAAAGATTTTCAATACCTTGCCAGCCTTAGAAGACATCGTGCGAATCGTTAGATTTTATTATAAGCTTCAATTCGTGATAACTTATATTTGCTATAAAAAACTCTATGATCATAAATTGTATAATTTTCCTCCGTACTGTATTCCTCCGTACGATTGACTAGCAGAGGAGCCAAAAAATAAAAATCAAAAATCTTTAATCTAAGTCAAAGTCATAATTTTACATGTCCAATACGCGGGTCCAGCCTTTATAGCTTTTACCTCTGCTTAATTTTGCCTCTGTCTTTATTTCCGTCTGGATTTAATATTTAGACTTTCACTCCTTATGGTAAATTAATTCCTCAAAAAATTTACGATGTTGTGATTGGGTTGAGTTGAATTTACGTAGTTTGATTCTTGGTACTTACGAATAGTAAAGTATTAGTAAATTTATCTGGGCACAGAATAGTAGATGTTATACCCAATGTTTCTTATCAGAGAAACCGTATCAACGAAGATATACGTATCAGTCTTTAGCCTCTCTCACAGAACTCAAATTACAGCTGGCAATTCACAAGCCTACACATAATTAGTCTGGATATTGAAACTTGAACTGGCGAAATAAAGTTCGGTTTTATCTGAAAAAAAAAACTTTGTAGCTGATTTTTGTCCCTAAAAGTTAAATTACACAATAATAATGGCAGAAAACACTAGAAATTTCTAAGACAAAATTTATTACGTCCCTCATATGTTCGTAAAAAGCAGCTGAAAATTTTCGCAATATAGAAAACTGAAACGGATCGCAGGTTGTACGAAAAAGGCTCGATATATGCTACCCACTAAATTAAACTTTTGAGCACTTGGCTTACCACGCAAAGTTTAGAGCAAAACTTGTAATATCCGGTCGTCTATTTTTAAGATTGAGCAAATCTTGGGCTGATTTCAAGAATATTTCATAATGGAAAAGTAGACTTCAAGAACTATCACTTGACCTTTGAGCTGGGGTATATAGACACATAAAATTATAAGTGCCAGCTGCTTGCATTTTCTCTAAAGAATGATGAAAGATTTTTTTTAATCAACCGAATCACAAGAGGCGAAAGCTCCACTATAAAGTTGCACAAGAAGTCCCTAATAAACGCTATAAAAGCAATCAATTGGTGGAAACGGATATAAGAAACAAGAAATATTTTTGTTCGAATTTATTGAGTGTGCTTCACAGCTAATATCCGTTCTGGTCATATGGCAATCTGCCTTTAATTGCATCTAGAATCACCGACACTGAGCAAACTAGCCGTAAGAATCCATTCATCATCAGTTATAGTTTCTGCCAATTACATTTCATTAATGCCTCGAAGTTCATTTGGTTATGTGGGCTGCTTAGATGTCGTTTACCACTATTAAAAATGGTTTTCAGTTGGTCCAATCAAAGAATACTTCTTGTTAATTAGAGATCAACAATCATTCGTGCTTTCAATTTCCAGTTATTTCCATTTTTAACACGTCTGACAAATAATTTTGCTCACTGATCTCGGTCGAGCTTGTATTGTTATAATTTAATTTCAATTAACCAAGTACAAATATATTATAAAATGACAACTACGTAAAGTCTGTCCAGTAATGGGGTTGTAAAATACAAAAACAATTTCATAAAGAATTTTTTTAGCAAAACTTTGTGAAAAATGTTGATTTATGAAATCCTCATCTTCCAAAAGCTGCGATACAATACTTGTCCTGCAGACCATCAAATGTCATCAGCAGATTTCCTCATGAAAACGACCATGTAACTCAGTCCACAATACTTCCAAACGACTTAGAGGTAACTTGGAAAGTCTGATTTCTCAAGTATTTTTTTGTTTAATTTGACAGTTGTAGTTAGAGATTGCTGATTTGATTGCTGAATTATCGAGTTTAATATGTCGAGTTATAAAAATCGATAGAGCTATCGTCAATTTTGCCGGGCTAACCGAGGTATAACAGAGGTTAATGAGAAATGTGTTACTTGCATTGTTAAAGATCGACAAAATAATGAAATTCTGAGAGCTCGTTATATTAGGCTGTGGTTTGATATGAAGCCATCAAGTTATATCGCTTATTGTCCTATTAAATAACAGTGATAATTTTGACAGTGAGCAGCTATTAAGTAATGAGCAGATGTATATGAGAACGATTAGGACTGGCCTTAGATAGGAGCCTGGAGCAGAAGTGAGTGGAGAAAAACCACAAAACATTTCGCCTATGGGGAAAATAAACATTAAAATCCAACCATACCAAGTGAAAGTTCGCTAAAAACTCGATTGATTCTATTGCTTAAAGTTTGCATTCAGGTTATTTCGAGCAGTTTTCAATATGTGCACGACACGCTGCCTAACAAATGCTTTTCTGATATCCCGTTTAATTTGTACGATGCAAAACAATCATGAGGAAAGTGTATCGTGCAATGCAAACGCTTATGAGAACACTATTGATGCAGCTGGGCCTTAGGGCCCGCTATGCATTTTATATTTAAATAACTAAATGTCCCATGATGATTGTAATTTCTATTTTGTTAAGTCTGCATTTTATATTTAAACAACAAAATGTCCCATGATGATTGCATTTTGCAGTTATTCTGCACTGAACCGCGTTACAAGCAAAAATGTGGGAACCTAATCTTTATCTTGTTGAACATCTGCATGCGTGTTGAGTGGCTGTGTCTGCTTGGGGGAGGATGTTTCACGCTGATATGGAGGTCACATTACCTTCCTCGTACTGTATCGTTCACTCTATCACCGAGTTAAATATGTCAGCTCTTCATAATATTATGCACACAAAAGCAATAAATTATTTTACAATACCATGTCAATTTTACATAGTTTTCATTACTACTGCCGACACAATATCATAATTATGTAATGACAGTCTGTATATCTATAATTCACAATGACAGCTCAACGTTTAAGTCAATAAAAAAACAAGTACAGGTTAATTAGACCAGACTCTAGACTTAATTAAGCTCATGCGACAAGAAATGAACAAAAAACTTGTAATTCAGATTTGAAGCACAAAAGAAACGAGTCAATCCAGTGTATAATACATTCAAAGTTAATCTACGTTATACGTACTTAATTTAATATATTCTACGTGACTCTCTTTTAAATCAATAGATCTTCAACAGCAGGTCCCTATGAAAGGGTACATGGATCTCAACAAACTCACAGCGTATATCTCAAAGCGTCGATTATCGGTTATTATCATCACTACCATATATTATTTAATTCCAGATCGAGTTTAGCTTAAATAATTAGTTCGAAATATCCTTGTGAGTCCGTTTGTACGGGAAAACTTGTTCAACTTTAACTTCGATTGCACTAGCGACGTTATCGCTATATACCTACTCATTTGGTGATTATGAAATACTCCGAAAATAGAATTCACTAATTATATCAGCCCACCAAATAATAAGAAGTTCAACTAATGCTTCTCATTAACTAAATATTAATATCAAGTATTATTTGATGGCACGCAGCAATTGCGCCATGGTACCTCTCTAACAAAATTTAGATGCGGGCCTGACACTGATATCGGGTTCGCCTATAGACTATAGGAGCGCGTAAATCAGCCGCTTCAAATCCACTTCGGCTTTGGGTTTGAAAGGCAGCTTTGGGTAGCTTTTCAGCTCGGGCAACCCTTCTCATGCTCTCTGGTGACTAGTAAATCGGAAAGGGGATTCTGACCAGTGCCTATACTTTCAAAACTCGCTAAGTTAACGTAAGTAATTACGCTCTATTTTCTTGTCCATGATTGGTGGATTCTGCTTGAAAGGCTGTCAATGATGAAAGGCTGATGAACTTACGACCTCTTAACTTTTTTCGAAAGTAGGGCCCAGAAACCGACTTCGATCGTGTCGCAGTGCAGTGCCAGAATAACTTTGCCTCGAGTGTAGCGACTATTCGGCCGAAGCCTATAGGTGGTCCCTGAATTTTGTTAGGGCTATTGTGGTAAGCTACGTAAATGCATCTACAAGTGCATGGTACTCGATTACAGCGTGTTTGGGACACACTGCGCAAAACATACCACAATCAGGGTAATCACTTCATTGAAACTCCGTCAGATGAGCAAGGCGATCGAACCACACTATCAACAATTGAGGATGCGTTTCAGAAGTTTCATCAGAATTGCGAACGACTTAATTGTAAATAATATTGTTTGATTGAACGCTAAATATTCTGTCAACAAAATACCAGTGTATTTTGTACCAAGTTTTTGATCTTTTACAACACTTTTCTTTAACTTTACTTCTTGTTGTTTGTTTGTTTTCTTTAACTTTACTTCTTGTTGTTTATTTGTTTCTTTGTTGGTTTGTCTGTCTGCTACGAATCTTATAATCGATATTTAACACACTTCTACCTGTCCAATCGATCTAAAATTTTGCACACTTGGGTAAAGTTGGAGACAATGCATGAATCAATTGACAGAATATATAATTTCAAAAAATAAAAAACAATTTAAATTGAAAAAAAATTGAAAAAATAATTTTGTCTTCTACAAATCTTATAATCGATATTCAACACACTTCTACCTGTCCAATAGATGTAAAATTTTCCACACTTGCGTAAATTCGGAGGCAATGCATGAAACAATTGACAGAATAAATGATTTTTGAAAAAATTAATTTTCTTTAATTTTATATATAAAATTTAAAAATTAAGTTGTGTAATATTTCATAATAAAATAATTCATTGTACATGTGTAACATCGGAGACACTTGATTCTTTAGAAGTGTTGTCTTTAAAAAGTAATTTTTGGTACGACATCAAGGTTAAAATTTATCGATTTTTTATGTTTGTACTAAACCGTTAATTCTCTGCTGAACGGTATTGCACAAAACTCTTTCCTGACTTTGTTTCACGTGACTTAGCATTCGACTTTCCTAAACATGAGTACAAAGTAAAAATGCGTAATACTGAAACAATTCAATCTAATTTCGAAAACAACTAAAATTAGCCGGAACTCCAAATCTTGCCGTGAGAAATTAGGTGTTAACTTAGACACAATTTGAATATTCCCAAAGGGAAGACCAGCTACTTCCGATCAGTTTCCATAGTGTCTGAGTTAAACTACGTCACAGCTTTTTTTCATTTACCATATCTATGATACAAAACAAACATTATATATACTTCACGTACCACCCAACCTTTGATACAGGAGATTTTGCGTGCTTGTACGTTGATAAGAAATCTAAACCAATAGGAAGACGTTCTCACGGACTGACCAGCAGGTGGAGAGTGAGGAGATGTCATTAACCGTGCCCATCATCAGCTCCGACACTCATTTTATGTCAGCAACATACTGTGGGTTAGTCGATTGCATCATCAGCTGGTGTAGACACGTCTCATCGCTACTAATAATCGTTATTTATTTAAATGATCGGGCGGTAGAGTACGACAAAAAAGTCTATAAACTTCACTTCAGTTACTACTAACGAAATATATAAGTGAGCGCGGTTCATCTAGGACTTTCTAGGTCTTGTACTTTTAGCGCATTTTCTCATTTCTGGAAAAAATGCCCTATTGTGCTCGTCATGTCCGTCTGTCTGTCCGTCCGTCTGTCTGTGACTTCATGTTTTCGTCGACGAGAAAATGCTCTCTCTGTCACTCACTGCAGTGAGTACTGAGTTATATTTTTTCCAAAATTCACAGGTGTTTTTCTGAGATATTTGACAGATTCTAAAGCTCTTTACACACCACAAAGATGTTGGCTTCAAGCAGATCAGCCCTCGCCTCCGCACGCCAGTGCAGGCAAATGTCGCACGCAAGCAACAAACTCAGCGGTCAAGTGGCCGTCCTCACCGGCTCTACGGACGGGTAAAATAGTAATGCAGAACTTCAAGTAAAGAATGTCTAATACGTTTCAATTATTCAAAAAATTAACAGTAGAATAGAATATACTCACTTAACTTACCGTTCTATCATAAATGTGCACTTGCTGGCTTTCCGCACATATGTGGCTCTACCACGTATGAAAATCTGGCAGAGGCGCTCGCCTTAGTATCTTATATTGTTTTTCCAATATTTACATGTCTGTTTCATAACGCCGGCTTTTCTATCTGCTCCTAATATATCAGTCCGCCGTTAAAATTAACGCCCGCGATAGATAAGAGCAACACAGATGTTGTTCCCTGAGTTAATCGTCATCTGGCAATAAATGAATAACCATCTCAGATCCCTCGTACAGAGAGCGTCACTAGGTTTTAAGGATACGAGGGGGGGGATGTACTGAATGTGACCATTCGTTTAATTTCACTAGCAGCTGACAACATCTTTAGTACAGCACACAACAAACACGATGAGTACTGTATGTTTATAGCATTAACAACATATTCTTTATTCAGGCCACATTACACGGAATTTGTTGGCATTTTCTACTACTAAAAAAACTAATCATTATAATTTTAAAATGATCTTAAAATAATTTAAAGGGCTTAAGAATATTGGGCTAATGCCAACTTAAAACAGTCCTAATAACGCAACTGATCCAGTACAACTACTCTAAATGGTACACCAAATGAAGTTTCAATATATTGCTATTCCCAAAATCCCCACAATATCAACATACAAGTCATCTCAGAACATGATCATTCTTCATGAGCACAACACTTGTCTATCAAGTGATATTTACTGATGCAATGCTCTTTCTGTTCACTATTATTTTAGTAACATCAAGCAGGCACGATTATTATTATCATAAGATCTATTATTATGGCAGGCTGTTAGTTCGTATTGAATTAACAAGAGTGTTGTCTTTCAGCATTGGTCTTGCGATCGCGAAGCGCATGGGCCAGGAGGGCGCGCGCGTGGTGGTAAGCAGCCGGCGGAGCCACAACGTGGAGCGCGCCGTGCAGGAGATGCACGACCTCGGCTTGAAGGACGTGCTTGGCGTGCAGTGCAATGTCGGCAAACCCGAGGACAGGCACAACTTGATCGATCAGGTTAGTGAACTGTTTACCCTTGTTTAAATGATTATCATTGGCGTGCAGTGCAATGTCTGTCTCTTATACACATCTAGATGTGTATAAGAGACAGNGTTTAATTCTCGTCCTTTCTTAGGAACGGAGAAAATTCTAATCGTAGGACTTGCCTTTATTATTTCTCAAGTATAGATATAATAGTGACGAATTTGCGTTCAACATCTATGGAACTAAGTTTTTACGCAATAATGACTATCTTTGTGTATATTTTTAATTATAGTTCATTTCGATAGTACGAGCAAATCTGAAATACTGAGAAAATTCGAGCGGAAATATTTCGAACTAACGGTGCAAATTGTGTGCAGTGTTCGGAGTCAGTGTGGGACAAGCTCTTCGACATTAATGTGAAGAGCACGTGGGCGCTCACGAAACTCGTCGCGCCGCACATGCAGAAGAAGAAGAAAGGGTCCATCATTTACGTAGGCAGCGTAGCGACCCTTGGCCAAATCATTCCTCACACTGCACGTATCATAATCTACTATTCAGATGATGTAATATATGTTATACAAAAATTTAACGCTCCTAATCTGAGGTAGACTTAAAATTATTCAAGATCGAAAATCGTCAATAGTGTTTGATGCAAAAGGCTGGCTTCGTTTAACATGAACGAAATTGCGTTGTTTGAACACATTGTTCATCAATCATTGTTGGTTATCAGCAAAAAAGACAATACAAACGGTTTCAGGGATTCAAATTTGCTCAAATACTTTTGCTGCATTGCAAAAATTATACCTAATAATGATAATATTAGCATTATTATTGCTAATGTTAATTAACAGGCTCTGAGCGGCTACATCGTCAGCAAGTCCTGCCTGCTGGCCATGAGTAAAATGGTCGCTCAGCAACTCGCTCCTGACAACGTGCGGGTGAACTGCCTCCTGCCTGGTCTCTTCAAAACCCGTTTTGGCGAAGTGGTGAGTGTATTTCATGAGACTTCACTGGAAAAAGTAAACGCTTAGAAAATATAGATTCGAACCAAAGTGTAGTTAGAAACTCATCTGCTTGTCTACTCATTTGTGTAAGCCTGATATAAGTAAACTCATTTTCATGAACTAATAATCTTCATGACAGCCGTTGCACAAATATCGCCTCTGCTCATAATATTGATGAGATACTTTTTTCAGTTGCACGCGGACGAAGAAATCTACAACAGGATGCTCCCGAGCATACCTATGCGCAGGCGAGTTCACAGCAGTATATAATAAACATGTAACTGTTTGCTTTAAAAAAATGGCATAATCGTTACTATGCTTTTCACCGAGATCCAAATTTCAGAATCAATTTTCATCTTAATTTTGCGTTCAGATCGAACCTCCTGAAAATTTCCAGGGCCGGAGAGCCTCACGAGGCGGCAGGTATGGCCGTCTTCTTGGCCTCGGACGACGCGTCCTACATCACAGGGGAAAACTTCGCGGTTGGTGGCGGCATGCCGTCTAGGCTCTAGATTCTAGAAGCTCTAGACCAGGGGCTTCTTAACACATTAACCGCCAGCATATGGCGTTCATTGCAAGCTTGTTTTGTGCCACCGGTGGTACAACTTACATGTAGCGGTTAAACTGTGATATGCGTAGGCAAGTGGGAGTCGTCGTACGCAAACCACCTTTCAGGAGGTACGCGATCACATGGTGTTTTGTGGATGATTTTAATTATTTTTGTTCATCCACGAAAGAGTTCTCTGACAACCACTAATAATAATAATCTGATAACGATTTACAACTTTGCCACACTCTACCTAGCCATTGGCAGCGGTGCAGAGTTAAATTCAGAAATTATGCACAGAGATGCTATTACCATGCAAATGATAATATAAATAAGGTAGTAGGTATATCAGAAGTAGTTTGGGAATTACATCTTGCGACGGTCACGGCTTCAGCGAAATCTGTCTATAATGGCCCATACATGACGGTTCTTTTAATATATATGTATCACTAAATAAATGAACATTGTAATTTTCCTTATTTTTGCTTGAAAAATTGTCTCCAGCGGATCTCGTTGAACTTGTTCTATGCCCTTGCTTCATCTCGACGCCATTTCTTCCAGACACGTGATCGTCATAGTTGGAAGTGCATTACATGCAACCCATTCAGATCTTGTAACCAAGCAAAACACTTAAATAACCCATTAGCTGAAATGAATATATACTTTAAGATAAACACAAGGACACCGACAATTCCGGACAATGCTTCACAACATCCAGACTCAGAAAGTAGGTGTTTAAAAGTGAGCGCAAATTATCAGAGTTGAACTCGTGACCTAGCTACTCTAATTTTAGTGCTGGAACTGAACATTGCTCAATGGTCAATGTATTTTCTTATGGAATTTAGCTAGAAGTGTGCCACGCTTGTTCGGCTATGTCGCGCTCTAGAGTCTAGATGAATAAGCAAAAGATGGCAAAACTTTTTCCATTCTACAAGTTCGATTGATGACCAGCGATTAAATTTTCAAAATTATTTTCTTGCTCGTTTTTGCAAATTATTTGCTTGCTACAGACAAATCACTCTAATCTATTAGCGTCAACGCTGCGTTTATGCTGGATACCCTTCTTAATCAAACATGCAGTACTATGAAAAATTAACAAGATCGTATCTTTGTCGCTCATTCGAGGTGCCTCTCATCTTATGTTGTAGCATACTCGTAATTAACATACTCGTAACATATCTGCATAACGATACTCGTAACATATCTGTATAATTTCAAGGCACAATTGTAGGATTATTTTGGAATCCCATTGTGGCATTAACGGCCCTATTATAGAGTTGTATTGCAATCCTACTGTGGGGTTAACGGCCCCATAGCAGGATTGTAGTAAAATCCTTTTTCAGGATTAACGGCCCATTTACTCAGTCCGAAAATTTGCACGCAGTTTTGTTCGACAGCATGCGCTAACAAAATTTTTTTCAAGGGGAGGGCTGATCATTCAATCTACCAGACCATTCTTTTTATATTATATACAGAAAAGTGGTACAAGGTGTCTCTCGATTGCGGAGTCCTTGTCTTCATACACTCGTATAAATAGTTTTGGTTTGGAATAGTCAAATATGATTTAGATTCGACAACAATAGCAACGTAAAGAAAGAATGCATACTTGAATATTTTTTAATGTCCTTTCCGTCTTAATATTTATTAAATTAATACTTGTGTAAAAAATAAATACTTCTAGGTGATAAAAACACCGATACAGAGTTAAATATCTTCGTAATTTGATTTTCCTTCGAAAGAAATGTTCGTGTAAAATGTCGTGAATTTTTTTCTGTTCCAAACATTTCTGATGAGCATGATAATTTTGATCGATAATTCTTAATCGCTTTCAACCGTTGACAGCAACTCGACACTTGGAGCCGAAATTTCAAGTGAGGAAAAAATTAAATAATTTAAATAAAAACCCAAGAATATATTAATTCAAATAAAAAATATAAGACTGAAATAGTAATACATTAAATAATTTAATTGTAAGACTATTTTCTAATTAACTTTAAGTCATAACGCATTTTAACCAGCTAAAAAAAGTACACGGATTCATACAAACGTAATTAATGATTCAATACACAGGGGAGTAACTATAATTACCGTTTCAAGCTTTAAGTAGTTTTAATTTATTATTCTGCCATTTAAGGAGTAGGAAGAACAGCAGACGCTGCTTGTTTACGGTTTATATAGTTATAGTAATTCATGATTTCAATTCCGTTAATCTAAATATTCGTAAAGTGATTATCTAGTAATATTTCGTTTAATTTAAAGTTGATGACAATGACTCAATGAATAATTTAATCTAAGCAGTTTACTATCGATCGATATATCCAGCATGAACATTCTTTACAATATAACAGTCAGCGTGACACGACAAAAGAGAAATGTAGCATGAAAGCATGATATTGTGTCAGTGTGACATGACACTCTTATGCAATCAGCAGTTTAAATAGAGAGGACTAAATCGTTATTATTATACTTCCTTAGAACTAAACACAACTACCTCGAACATTCCCGAGACGAGCTTATTTTCCGCTATATAGTAGATGACTTCATGTCTGCCTACAATTTATAGTGCCGTATTAAGTTAAAATAAATGCGATGGCAATAATTAATTCTGATTAAATGAATCCGATTTACAGTTTATAGTGTTTGAATGTGATTTGATTTTCTAATTTTATGCTCGCGTTCTTATAGTAAATTGAGTCTTCAAGGTCATCCATGTGAGAATTTTCCCTGTTATTCTTGTAGTTTTTAGCACATTTTCTCATTTATGGAAAAAAGGCGCTATTGTGCTCGTCATGTAAGTCCGTCCGTCTGTCTGTCCGTGACTTCACGTTTTCGTCGATGGGAAAATGAGCTCTCTGTCACACACTGCGGTGAGTACTGAGTTATATTTTTTTTTGCTGTCCGACAACAGCTAAATTGTAGCTTTGGTTATGAATGTAGTTTTAAAAGGTGGTATATATTTTAAAGTGATTATATATATATACGGCCAGTGGCTTTCTTTCTCTACTTCTTCTTGGTAATGTGGTTACCCCGATGGTTCGAGGAAAAGCTTGATGGATGCAGTGCTATATAATCAAGAATATATTTAGAAAAGAAAAATAAAAGATATTTCCGATTAACTTCTCGCAAAGATTAAAGTCACTTGATTCAAGTTCTCAGGTAAAACGAATTAAATTATGCGGACCTGCTTTTCTAAACAAGAAAATGAACAAAAATTTGAGGAAAAAATGCGCTTTTTATTCAAGATGAAATATATTCTCAAGACAGAGTTCCAATAATCAATAGACGGTGTAGCTAAATTAATAAAATGTTCTGTATACAATTGATAAACATGTACACAGAAGAGTTTTACTAGTTCACAAATGTCCGGTTTTCGTGTGGGCAGCAAACTTAACGGCTATTTCTATCCCTAAGAATAACGTCATTCAACATTAAGCGCGCATGATAATCAAGTCATGTAGATTGCGCTCGTAGATTGTAGATTTATTTAAACTCGTTGCAAGAATTTCTTCAGTCAAAATATTATACATTAATGGCTATATCACAAATAAGTGAACGCGTCCCAAGTAAAGACAATCCCACAAATACATCGCAATTCAAATGAACTCCAAGTAAGTCAAGGCGACCATCATAATAGGATTTCACTTCACATTAATGGTACATAGTTCAATGCCTGCGAGTTTTACTGTGAGTTTTTAACGCCGGTGAGATTATTTTAAACAAATAATAAAGGATTGAAGCCCAAATTCAGTTATACTCGTATCAATTCATGAGTGTGTGGTATAGATTGTTTGTAACATTCTTACTTCAAATTCCAATTTCAATTTCTAGTTATAATATATTTAAAAAAATTCAGATCAGTGCTTATTATTAGTGCCCTTTCCGGAACCCCAGGAGAAGAGTGTTAATGTTTTGGAAATGTGGGCCAACAACTGGTCAAATGATTCACTGTTGGCGCTGCAGTGAGACAGTGCCGAAGGCTTTTGATTGAGTTCTTATTATGATGAAAATTTCGCCGAAATATTGGACGAGCAAAGAAACTCGACTAGAGTCTGGACGGCATACCGCCGGCAACCACGAAGTTTTCGCCGGTCACGTAGGAGGCGTCGGCCGAGGCTAGGAAGGCGGCCATGCCGGCGACATCGTCAGGCTCACCGAACCTGCAACGATTAAAACAGTTGCATGGCTGAACGGGCCCTTTTAGAAACATATATGACAATTATTGTTTGTATGAAGAAATAGCCATCAGTACATATACATATGCGGTGCTAGTAACATCCGTATTTCATTGCTCTAAAGTCTAAACGATTGTGATCTTACCTCCCTAGGGGACATAGAGCCATCAGATAGCTTGCAACGTCTTCCCTCGACAACTGAAAAGAAACACACCAAAATGAAGCAGAGGCTGTGAATTTTTGATATACCTCCTAATAGGGATGATTTTATTCCTTCTTGTATAGGTGTGACGACAACATTATATAAGTTTGTACAAATTCGTAAGTGCTGTAAAAATGCTCCAAATGAGTTAATCAATCACGAAGGAATAAACATGGCTATTTTTCATGTTTGAGCTACAATTGTACAAGAATACTCAAAATACAAATTGTGAAAGTTGCGAACTCATGTAGAACAAATAAGACGTCTTATATTACAGTTTTGACATCGCAAATACTCTTGCGCGAAAAATCTTCACTATAATATAATGATTAGTTACTGACACTGATTTAAAATGATGACATTGATTATTATGACCCATGTACCTGAGATTATCGACAATTACAAGCAATTAATTTTTTCTGCTGACTACTGTTGGATGATGCATTGGTTTTCGAGACATACTCGAGACATAAACACCCGTTTTCAAAAATTGTGAATTAGTTGCCACACAAAATTAACTTCTGGCATATGTATTCTATTTTATAATGAACAGCCAATAATTACCGTTTTGCACGTAATTTCAAGCTCAGAATATAACACCGACGTCAGGGCCTGACGCTGGCTTTTTACTGCATAGACGTGCTCTTGAGAAAGAAAATCAACATGGGCCGTATTATCGAAAATAGTTAAGTGTTTGTAACTGCGACAGCCAACCACTGACGGTTCTTAAACTCAACCCAGCGATCACAGACGAGAAATCGGCAGCTAAATGAACTATATCAGCTATGGAAAGATCGTGTTCCAAAGGCCGGATCCCTTGTGAATCAAGTCACGAAAAGTTCAAGAATCGGCAACAGGCCATGCATGGGCCTATTTCTTCAGCGCCGACACTTCTATTCTATTCTAAACAAGTTTTGATAGTACGGATTCAGGCCTACACGTCATCTTGAAATGATCGTCAAATGAACGATCTGTCTTACGGACGGTATACCCGTGGTAAATTTGGCACTACGTTTGGCCATCTATGGTGGATAGTACACCACGGCAGTACAGTGCAAAGAGCTGTAAGAGCTCGTAAGCAGCTCGTATGTTGATCCATTAACTTTTTTTTCATTGTCAAGTGGTTTTCAAGGTATCTCAAGCCAATGGACATCTAAATCTGGTATGGACATTTCATACGTGTCATGAAATATCAAGAAACAATTTTCTGGACTTCAACATCCACTCACCACTTCAGCGAAGCGGGTCTTGATGGCTCCAGGTATGATGGTATTCACCCGCACGTTGTCAGGAGCGAGTTGCTGAGCGGCCATTTTACACAAGGAGAGCAGGCAAGTCTTGCTGACGATGTAGCCGCTCAGCGCCTGTGAAACACAATAATAGAACAACCATTTTTAAAACTCCTAATGGATGAAGTCTCAAGTCTTCGCTCACTGATGAATTATTCGTGTTAGTGTTACTTGGTTCCTATCTACGCAGATTTACCGTAGCGTGAGCATACGTCAGCTGGCACTTGTAGCACAGAAAAATGCATTTATATTGATTGCTTTCGGTCCTTCACTTCTGGAACCAGGATGGATACCTTCCCTCGTTGACACATACATGAATATTGCAATAATAGAAAAGTAGTTAAAGTTTAGTAGTTGTCAATATAAACGTGGCAAAAACCTATCAGACCTGGCGCATTGACTCCGCAAGCAACAGCATCGTGCATCAGCTTGCCTATATGAGGGCGGATGCGCGGTAGTCAGAGGCGGCGATCCATTGTGGCCTGGGAATGCTGCGCCGAAACATATACTAAGGATACTATGGACAAGAAATTTTCGTACTCCACTAACGTAACAAAAGCTTATTTGATGAACTTCCTGATTACATCTCAGGGGTGGTTACGAAGATGTACGTACCCCGTCTGGCACGATTTGTCCATAGACGCCCAAACTGGGGACATAGATGATGCAGCCGTTCTTCTTCTTCTGCATGTACGGCGCGACGAGTTTCGTGATCGCCCACGTGCTCTTCACATTAATGTCGAAGAGCTTGTCCCACACTGCCTCCGAACACTGCACACAATTATTTAAAGTTTAAACCTTAGATATTTGTTTCCTAATGCTTGCAATCATTAAGTTGATCGACGGATACGGAAATAGGCTCAACCATAAAAAAGAAAATTGTTTTTGTAATCATTTTGACTGACCTCTTCATATATTTTTTCGGGCGCGTAATATCTTCTAGAAAAAAATGAATACGTGAAGAGACGTGCGTTAATTGCAATCTCCAGAGGGGGGCATCAGATACTTGGATTGAATTTCCGGCAATAGACGTACAATACATCTTGTAGATAACGTGTCCACCAGCAGATTATGTCAGTCGTAACAAACACGTAAAATAGTATATGGCTGTAGCATAAATATGTTATGAGGAGAGCCTTGAAAGTTAAAAATAATCAAAACTGCTTGTCAAACTTAACATTTTTTTTCGTCAGTGTGTGTGTCGCGGATTGGCTGATAAGTTGAGATTCGGAATTGTCTTAATTAGTTCATGCACCGTAAAGGCAGTTCAAATGTTCTGATAATAAGCTTACAGTCAAAATTTACATTGAATTATTTATGACCGTATCGTTAACTAGCGGAGATAACCCCTCACAGAACCTTCTGATACGACAAGACCTATAGATCGGCTGGAATTTTTATGGCACCGAGGGTGGAACTGGTGCCCAGTTGAATGACAGTCTATGAGGCATCATTTGAAATCAACATGCTTTGGGAGATGACAGATTCTTGTCGGTAATTAAGCACAATGTTAAAATGAGAAATTGCAATAGATGCTGATGAATTTTAATTTAAACTTTAAAAATTGCGACGATGCGTCAAAAAGCATGACATGATTGTATGATTGTACCAGGCAATAAGTCCAGCAGCTATCTCAATCAATCGTCAGCTAAGGAAAGATCGGGTTCCAAAGGTCGGATCCCTTGTGAATCAAGTCACGAAAAGTTCAAGAATCGGCAACAGGCCATAGGCCTATTTCTTTAACGCCGACACTTTTATTCTATTATATTCTATTCTATGACTTTTTAACTCACGTCAAGCAGCCAGCCTGTGGCCGGGTTCACGCCAGCGGTCTGCACGCAAATGTCCACTCCGCCCCATTTTGCAACAGTCTGGGAAAGATAAAGAGAAAACGATTTAAATTATATTCTCAGATACAGGATTAGGTTGTCCGGTCTCTAGCTTGATACTATTTTCCGCAGATTGAATGAAAATTTCATGTCGATATATAACGCGTTATTTAAAAAATTGCACTTATTGTATTTATTGACATTACTGATGATGCCCAGAATATAGTAAATTAAATATAAGACATTGTGATAGTGATCGGAATGAAAATTTCAATCCATAGTATTATTTTGTGATAATTCATAGTTATCGTTTAGTACACACGAAATTTTCCGTTTTTCGTTACAGAGAAACGAAATCAAGAACTCGAAAGGAATGACGTCAAGATTTCGATTGTTGATGTCGAGATAGCGGTATTTTTGTGAGAAAAAAACCTCACAAAAAATATCGCGCTAAAATACTGAGAGAATATTCTAAATAAATACACATTTTAAGTAATTTATACTGTGGAAGCGAATCAATACTTAGACTGTGGAAGCGAATCAATTTGTAAGGCCAGTAAGAAAATCTGCCCGGTAAGAATGAAGCGAGAGTCGTTCAGGTGAGCAGGAACTATAAGAATTTAATGAATAAGTTTTACTTATGATGTCATTGATTAAATGAACGAAAAGTTACTATACGGTAAAACTTTTCATGCTAAAACAATCTTGCAATTTGTCACGTTAGGGGTAGTGTTCACCTCAAAACATACGTGGTCTGTTTAGAAAAACATTAAATCCTATTATCGGGGTCTCTTTACTTTTTCTTCTAAGGAAGTATAATAAAATTTGGCTATTTTCTGCAACCAATGCAAGGAAGGGGCAAGCATGCGCTATCAACGAGTTGCATTCGTACGCGCGTTAGCAAAATTCGATGCGTTTTATCTCCACAGCTGCTGTGTGGTAGCTGCTTTTGAACGTTCTCGGCTTGCGCGTTTTTTCATGATTTCTCAAAAATTGAGAAATATAGCTATTTAAATTCAGAAAATAGAAACGAATTTGAGAGAAAAAATCTCCACCAGACTTCGTTGACATGTAGTATGATCAATTACTCTACATAAATAATAATTAGATATAATTGACAAGTAGACCGAAATTTATTCATAATAAAAGAAAATAATTATTTCAGTGTAAATTGATAAATTGAGTGATCTATTAGAAGAATATAAACATTGCTAATGGAACGACATGAAAATCAGATCTACCCAACTTTTCATTATTGACTTGTCTGTTACTAATTGTTAATTGAAGTTTAGTTTGAGAATTAAAATTTTTCCAAATGAAAGGTTGATAAAGTCAGGCGACACTTGCGATTATCACTGAACACTGCATGAGGAAGGCTGCAACAAGAGACTTGAATTGAAGTAGCGAATTGAAGAAGAAGAAAAGATCCTGTTGTAGACCATCAGCTGTAACCGGTGGAGATCGGTTGTTCATATGATGTTATTTCTGATCGTTTGCTTGATTTTTATGGCAAACCTGATAGACTTGTATCTGGTTTTGTGCGGCTATTTTTGAGAAGCCTTAATCTGAACACACATGCAGCAAATTGCCCGTGAGAGTCACACATAAATAATATCATAATAGATGAGACTTGAGCTTATTACAATTTTATTTATGTCGAGGACAAATCGGAAAATCTGCTTATGTAAGACAGGTATACATATAATTGGAATCTATATGAGCAGATCATTTGATATCACAGCCACTCCATGCAGCCCATAGAAACAATGAACACAAGTCAAGGAGAAAGTATTACTAAAGAATTTAATAATAAAGAGATGTTAAGGAGCGCATGTGGTGATAATAGATAGAGGTGCCCGCTGATCATCTAGATAATGATTGCATGAAGACGATAAGAAAAAACGTGGTAATGACTAATCCGCACTCAAATGTTCAAAGTGACTTATACCTTATTAAACTATTTCGTTATATTACAGCATTCAACAATTTTTAGGAGAACCTCTAGAACGACCTTATATCTATGATGGTTCCAGTTTATCTATGATGGTAAATTGCGACGATGCACCAAAAAGTTTTTTTAATTTCCATATATTAAGTTAAGTTTCTTCTAAAGAATCATTTCGAACTATCCTATATGTGACGGATAAGAAAGTCGCGCGATGCATATTCTGATAAGGAGAGTGTACCTCTTAACCTTTTTTATCAGAATAACCAAGTGATAAGATTTTCATTACATGTTTCTTAGATCGGTTCTTAATTTGTTGCAATAAAAATTTTTCGCTGTCTTTTAGTAATTAAGTTGATCTGGCCGAAAATAAATAGCATGCCATTGTAATTTTTCGGATATACTTATCAGTGAAAATTTTACTTATATCGTGATCGTAAATCAAATGAACAGTAGGGGTTTGTGATGACCTACCTACATATGCTGCAAGCCTCATCAGCACACACTATATATAAAATGCCTTGTTCGAAGTTATTTGCGGTCATGTTAGTCACTCCACAATTCGAGAACTTATCATCGAGTCCGCTAAGAAAATTTTCAATCATTTATCATTTACGGAGCGCGTACAGATCTGAAAGTTACGGATGTTGTTTTGTCATCAAATAATACCTATCCGTGGCATATAAAATAAAATCAAGCGTAAAACTTCCCTCACGATTTACACTTGATTTTATGGTGTATATCCCGGCGTCATTCTACTCAGTCATTCGCTTAAAAATAAAGTATAGTTTATGTATGTAGAAACTCAATGTTATACTTTAGATAACAGCACGGCAACGGCCATGAATGTAACGCCGAAAAATGAGTGTTGTTGCGAATAACATGCGTTTAAAAATTACTTTTTAAAGACAACACTTCTAATGAATACAGTGTCTCCGATGTTACACATGTACAATTAATTCTAATTTTATTTCCATATAATAAAAAAATAATTTTAAAATTTTTTTAATATATGAAAAAAAATTAAATTTTCAAAATTATTTATTGTGGCAATTGATTCCTGCATCGTCTCCTACTTTACGCAAGTGTACAAAATTTCAGATCGATTGGACAAGTAGAAGTGTGTTAAATATCGATTATAAGATTTGTAGCAGACAGTCAAACAAACAAACAAACAAACAAACAAGAAGTGAAGTTAAAGAGAAGTTTTGTAAAATTAACAATGGCTGCACTTAATTTTCGGTATGTAAAGAATTAGCGTCTATTGTCGGGTCTGTGCAGCTGGCCTGCTAACACCGCATTAATATCTCTCAATGGCGGTATTAGGGATAATGCATTTCAAAGGCCATGCGAGAGCATAGTTGTCAGGCGGCAAATATTTCTCTGAGATTTTTCCAGTAAACCAACAGTTCAATCCACGGAAAAACAATTTAATAATAGTAAACAGTTTACTAGTTTACTAGTTACTTGTCAAGTTGTGCCTGTCCTTAGGTTCGGCGACAGAGCACTGCACACCAAGCACGCCAATGATAATCATTTAAACAATGGTAAACAGTTCACTAACCTGATCGATCAAGTTGTGCCTGTCCTCGGGTTTGCCGACATTGCACTGCATCCTGCACGGCGCGCTCCACGTTGTGGCTCCGCCGGCTGCTTACCACCACGCGCGCGCCCTCCTGGCCCATGCGCTTCGCGATCGCAAGACCAATACTGAAAGATAACACTCGTATTAATTTAATTAAAAGTACAAATTTCAATACAAATGTCATTATCATATTTCAATTTTTGATCTAATCCTTTTCTTCTTTTTCTTTCAATCCTTTCCTGTGCTCCCACTAGGAATAAATTTTCCCTGGTCATATCCCAACACGATAAATATCCTGGAACCACGCCTCGAATATCCACTATATATTTCAAGCGCCAGGCTTCAATCACAAGCACACAAACCTACAAACTTCGGCAAATATCCATGAGTTAAATATCATTACGAGCAGAATGTCTTATGTCATTGCGAAGGGATGGATGTTGATGGGGGCAAGATAATGATACGGGAAGAAAGTAGGAAGAATAATTCAAGTATCCTTCTACTTGATGATTTTAAGGCAAGTATCATAACTATTTTGAATTGTACGTACCGTGATAAAAATGGAATTTCACATAGAAACAGGTGTCAAAGCTATTCACGAATTAAAATCAGCCCAAATAAAATCCAGGGTGTAAAAATAATTAAGATATATAATTTAATTAGGTATTCAAAACACCCAATAACAATTTAACTACTTGCTTGATTTGGCTTTTGAAGTATCAAGTGAAAGGCAATCTGGACTTACCCGTCCGTAGAGCCGGTGAGGACGGCCACTTGACCGCTGAGTTTGTTGCTTGCGTGCGACATTTGCCTGCACTGGCGTGCGGAGGCGAGGGCTGATCTGCTTGAAGCCAACATCTTTGTGGTGTGTAAAGAGCTTTAGAATCTGTCAAATATCTCTGAAATTCCCCTGTGAATTTTGGAATAAGAAAATTCAGTTGGTGTTTATGCACCTAGAGTTACCTACATACATATAGGGAAAAAGTTCGGAACTTAACGAAATCAACATAGACCAAGTTTAGTGGAAGCTCTGCCAGAAATCTTTGTGGTGTGTTGAGAGCTTTAGAATCTTTTAAATATCCCTAAAATGCACTTGTAATTCCTGAATGGAAAGAGCGCTAAAGTTTTTGAAATATATCAGAAATTGTACTGGTAATTTTTGAAGAAGATTTTTTTGTTTATGTTGTTTGAGTATTGCTTAAAATAAAATGTATGGAGAAGGTGATGCAAATCACTTGAATTTGCATCAAAGATTCTAACTTGTAATTACTATCATAAGTAATAACTGTATGATTAATTCGAGCAGACGAAAACCAAGCCGAACAAAGGAACGAAGTTTAAAAGTTGAAGGAACAGAGTTAAGTTAAGTTCCTCGACCTTTGGTTGCTGGAAAAAAAAGACGTTGTAACTCCAGCCGAACTTGTGACCGACTGACCAAGGAAATGTTACGAGCTCCCAATATACCTGCCGGGCACTTGAATGCTTACGTCATGCAGTCACGCGTGAGTTGGAGGAATGTGATATCTCAGGTTGGTTTCCGAAAGTTCTAATCATGATAACAAGCTAGCTGTCATGATGATACCACAACGTAAAAAATATATATAACTAATTAATAAGAATACATAAACGAGGTAAATAATTTTTTGGCAGAAAAATTTGGCCAACTTGAAATGCATTATGATTTATTTAAATTTCACTTGGTGATTTATTTAAAGTTCAATGATTTATGTTTATGATTTATTTAAATGAAGTTCAATGATTTATGTTTATGAAAGTTTATGATTTATTTAAAGTTCAAAGGATCTTTCATCATTCTTACAGCGCTGATTTTAATTTTGAAAAAAATCTAAAACCTAGAAATGTAAACAAATCATTAACAAATTACTATTAGATTAATACAGAAAAAATTTCTAAAATTTTGATTTCTACTCTAAAAACTAACAAAATAATTTACAATATGGACGTGTAATTGGTGGAGGAAAAAGAGGAACATCAAAAATTCAGAAATGATACATTTTGAGTTATTTTTCTCTCTATTATTAAATTGTTGTTATGGCTCGGAAAATCATACAAGGGAATATACGGGTAGACAAATTGTAGTAGTCTGCACACCGAAGGTACATGCTATTTGCATTCACATTGAATAAATCACAGGATTAAATGAACGCTCAAAAAAACGAGTAAACAATCGTTAAGATTGCGATACATTTTTTTGCGCTGGTGTGGGTCACCCTGGCCCAATTTGACCCGGCTGCAAAAAGATGTAATATTGCTACTTTTAAGAGTGTGTTGATCACTTTTTGGGCAATATTACACCTTCATATAGGTGAAGCTAGTATTTCCTTGCATTTACTCAATTACACGCTTACAAAAAACGACAGATAACGTATAATAGACCTTATAATTAAATGTTCACCACGTATTTTACCTATTAATGTAATAGCGCCATGCACGTTATCTGCTGTGCGCGTCATCGTAGCACGAATTGCATTTCTCTTCATCTGCGCCATAGTGTATGCAATGCATCTACTTGACATGATTTGACCAATTATATTCTAGCATTCTAAATATTTAGAATAACTAAATAAATATAATTTTTTATTACCTGCTTTAAATAAGTTTTAATCAGCGTTTGATTTTTATGACCGTATTTTTCGTATATTTTAAACGTATGGTGCCACTGCTGCTTAGAGTGTATTTTACTACTTGAGTGCAAACGATTCGATGAAGCTTTGTATTATATATCACTATGTATGTACGAGTATTACTAATACAAATGCACTGTAGTGAGAGAAAGACATGAGACCTCACCTCAATATCAAGCTCAGCTTTATTATTAAATATAAAACAAAAGATGAAAAATATTTACTGAGTTTGATGCGATGAAATTCTATAATAAAAGTCTTGAAGCACATAAGAAATTTGACGATTGTACTTTGTGATTTTTAGTTTTTTAGAGACATTCACGAATTATGGTGATGATTGAAAATTAGAACACACAAAAAAATTCTAAGTACTGAGAGAGTTCCTGAAAAGAATTAGATTTCGACGAATTGAAAAAATCTAATTGACGAATTCAAAAATCTTGACGAATTGAAAAAGCTTGTGCCATGCACGGAGAGCAGTCCGGCTAGTGTCAGAATATAAATTGTTTGAATAAGTTTAGAGGGCTATCGGAACTGAGGCGTTTATTTCCTGCCGTTTAATGAACAACGCATGAAGCCTCGAAATCGAAACATCAATTGGGATGTAATTCAATTCAATACTTTTGAAACGCGCACTATCATTTTTTGTCGTAATTTGTAATTATTCGAAACGTTATGTTACAGAATTTACTAGATTTTTCTACCGTTTTTGAATCAGTGAAAGGAAGTTAATGTGAAATAATTCTAAGCTTCATTCGATCCTAGTGCACCTAATTGTCGATTGATTTCGGCCTTCTTGCAGCTTGCTTGTTCAATTTCCGTTCAGTTTTATTTAGAATTCTTCTGTCAATGACACATGAGTAGCCACTCAGCAAGTTCTGACTTACCTCGCCACTCGTCACTAAAAACCGTGTAGTACTTGCCAGAACTATGATTTGCCAGAACCAAATGATGACCAAAAAGCTGTCTTGACCGCGATAGAAAGATTTGCCTGCTAGTTTATAAAATAGATCGATTATATTGAAAGCCGGCGACTCTAGTGATGGGGCGACATTATCGGCATTGACGGTAAGCCATTTTCTGATTGCAGGACAACGAAAAAGAAATTTAAAGTAAAATTCCCCATTACATATCCAGGCACTGTAAACTGTAAAGTCGGTAGAGCCGTTTATTCTTATGACTATTTTCGAACGGCCTGTGAGCCAAACAAAATAATCCCTAGCTCCTCTGACGACTGTGAGACATTCGGATTTTTTCGCGAAATGGCTCAGAGATAAAAACTAATGTAAAAATGCTAGCGTGGGTAAGTAATTATTTATTTATTTTTTGCTTTCACTGTGTCCTGACCAATCATCATGACTCCTGACATCTTTTATCTCTCACGTAGCTCACATGCTCTGCAAATGCTTCTTTGCACTCGCAATCTCCGTTAAGGCTTTCCTCGCCGGCGAAACCGCAGTCATTTCAATCCACTCCTCACCTGTTCTCTCATTATATAAATACCATAACTATTACCCCCTCATTCAGAAATCCCTTTCATTTCAGCTCGTCTTGCTCTCTTATAGTCTTCCCACTCAACCATAAGGTGCTCTACTGTTTCTGCATATTCACACCTAATCATGTAAAATACACTCATCCTCTCTCCTCTCATTCCCCCCCCCCTCCCCATGTGTGCGCCATTCACACCCTCCACCTCCGCTCCGACAGAAAGTACATGACTCTCACCTATGCTACCATTATGCGCACATAGATTCATACCTCGTCATCAGTATATCACTACCAGCGATAAATAGTCTTCCATGAGGCACTTGCTATTGTCTGGTACAAATACGTATTATATCGCCAAATAAAAAAAAAAAACTATTCGTAACATCGAAAAGCTGAAATAAGCAAGTATTTACAAGAGAATTTTTTTTAGAAACAAGCAGTAGCGGCTAGCGTAGTAACACCTTGCTACATCGCTTTGTATCGCTGCTCCAATATATCGCGGATTGTTCTAAAAATATTCACAATAATCTCAGAATAATTACTGAGCGTAAATTGCTTGCACGCTTATAAGGGTCAGGAAATTCCCGCTGAATCCGCAACTCACATTTCTGATTGCTAATGCGTAGCCATCATGTTAAATGATAACGTTAAGCGAGAAACTCAGTTGGTTCTATTCACATAGCTCAAATCGCAACGGATAAACTGACTGAGATGACGAACATAAAAGTAAACTACTAACCTCAGATCCTTAATTAAAGTTCGTTCGTGTTATTGTAACCAGATGAAAAAGTGTATTTTGCACAGTGGCGTTATCGCATGTTTCATACTAAAGAACTGATCCGATTTTTCTGCTTGTGCGGCTACACACTATTTTTTGGGCAGCATTACTAATTAAGTAACGTTATTATATGTTTAAGTCATCGTGACACGCCTGACAGTCGTGAGCAGCATGAGTGGCTCTTGATGATGTTGCACAATCTCTCAGAACTCTCTGGAAAATGATAACAACTTTTGCCACTTAACGATGATACCACAAAGATAAGATTTAAGCGCTTTATTTTTCTGATTAAACAAGATCTAGATAGTTATGTCATTATTTAAGCACAAATTTAACCGATTAAAAAATTTATGAGCAAGTGGGTTAAATTGATGAATATTACGGTAATTAAATTAATTTAATATTATGGTGAATGTAATGGTTGGATATGATTTTGGGCCGCTGTGACCAAATGGGTGGCGTGTGACAGCTGTTGACATTAGCGTCCGATAATCTTACGTTAGCAGCGAACATTTTTGCTCAGCATTCTGAATGCCTACAACCCTTATAAAAATATATCAGGTCAGGCATTGCAGCGGTGCACCAATTCAGCTTGGAAACCGTTTCATCCTAATTGGGGACTTCAAAGGCCATCCACCTTTATGGACTCTCACAACAGGTCCAACTTCACAGGCAGAAGTATTGACATTGAAAGATTGCTGGACGTCCACAATCTTATATTGCTCAACGATCCAGGCACTCCAACATACATTGATAATCGCACTGGCTATACGTCCACTCTTGACCTCTGCATATCACTCACATCCTTGAGGAGCATCCTTGAGGAGCAGCATCACGGTAGTGACATAGGTAGCGACCACTTCCCTTTAGAAATCACCCTTGGTTTTGGGTTTGCCTAGAGCAGCATAGTTCCGCCAAAACTGGGCTATCAAGCGTGCCAACTGGACCTTTTTGTTTCTCCAAAGCACCAAACCTGTAAGTGAAATGAATGCTCCTCTTAACGTGTAAATCCTCAACCAGTGTATAACCCAAAAAAATCACTGGGCAGGGTGGCCCAGTGGTGGGCAGGGTGGCCCAGTGGTTAAAGTTCAGAGTACCAAGATTGGAGCAGGGAGGTGCGGGTTCGATCCCAGCTCTGTGCGCCAGTTTCTGGTCAGAATCGGCGAGGAGGCCGGACGGTTAAGCACAGCAGAGTTGGAGCAGTGAGTTGCGAGTTCGAGACCGCAAAATGCTGTGAATGTTCTGCGATGTTAAGAATCGGCGACAGGCCTACTTCCTAATAAACGCTGAAACCGCTATTATTATTTATTTATTTATCAGCATCGCCAATTACTGCATCTCAAAGGCATCCAACAACAGACAATGCCACCGAACCACTCCATATGGGATAAAGAGTGCAAAGTTGCTGTTGAAGACAGGAAAAGAGCAAAGAACCTCCACTGGAACCATTCAACTCCCTCAAACATGATACACTGCAAACGTTGTGCTGCACCGGCAAAACATGCCGGTGAAAAAAAAAAGAGCTTGAATAAGTTTACTGAGTCCCTGGGGAGCATCACACCCTCATTCAATGTGTGGCGTGTAATTAAGAGCATTGGTGGGAAACAAGGCTCGAGAAACCTTCCAATTGGCAACCATACCACCTCAAATTATGAAATAGCAACTCTTTTTCTTGAGCATTTCACACATGACTCAGCCACTGCTCAGGAGCGCGTATGGGATGAAGAGGTGATTGAAGGGGTGGAAAGTGTGGTGAGTGGTGCTAGTGAGTCAATATCTCCAGATATCAATCGTCAAGAACTTCAGATGTCTATTCAGTGGTTAAAGAATACTTCACCAGGGACTGACCTCATTGCCAACCTCTTCCTAACAAGGAGCCCGTATTGCAACAAAATTGAGCTCCTCATCATTTTCAATACTTAGGGTGCTTTTATCAGTGTATGGCATTATGGCAAAAGGGCCTCTTCCCAACTAATCCGATGGATGTATCATTACCTCAAGGACAGGACCACCTCTATGCAAGTTGGCAATTGCCTTTCTGAGATGAAACCTCTTCGTAGGGGACTTCCCCAGGGTGCAGTCCTCTCTCCAACACTCTTCAACATAATGCTGAGTGACCACCCAAAATCCCCTCAATTGTGAAAATCCTCTCCTACGCTGATAACATCACATTGGTTGCTAACACCGCGGGAGTTACCCAGCTGAGGATGCAAAGTTATTTAAATTTACTGAGTTGTTGGCTTGAAAAATGGCAGTTCACTGTAAATCCATTAAAGTATACTCTCCAGTTCTTCGCGCAAAAACGTAATATCCCACCAGTATATGTTATTACTGCAAACCAAGCCATTAAGAATGTCCATGTGCGGAGGGTCTTGGGCATTCTATTTGATGCTCCGAAACTAACATTTCAGGCACACATTTCTTACCTGCAGAATGAGGGCCTCCGCCAACTGGCACCCCTACGAGCGCCCTCAGGCAGCAGCAGGGGTGCCTCGAGACGTCTACTTCGGCAGGTATATATCAGTTTTATTCGCAGCAAACTAGGGTATGGCAGCATTTTATTCAAACTTCGTGACATCCCTTCCGTCCAGCGCATGAAGAATTGTCCTTGTTGCCTGAAACACATCTCCTATTACTTCCCAGAAGATTGAAGCGCCTATGATACCTACTGAAGCATGGGTGCGCCATGGACCCGCTGGGCCAAAGGACGAATGGGTGGTGACAGTACGGGGTGCGGTTGGGATAGAGTGGGATAGAATAGAATAGAAGTGTCGGCGTTGAAGAAATAGGCCCATGGCCTGTTGCCGATTCTTGAACTTTTCGTGACTTGATTCACAATGGATCCGGCCTTTGGAACCCGATCTTTCCATAGCTGACGATTGATTGAGATAGCTGCTGGACTTATTGCCTGGTCCGTAATTTGCTAGGCATTGAAAAAGAGTGCAAAAGAGAAATAAATAAGCGTATGAAAGAACATGGCTAAAAGTGTGGAAGTTAGGAATGAAGGAAAAAAAAAACTCTAAAACTGTATCAGATGAAAGTGATGCCGAAATATGAATGTTGAGGGATGGTATAATGGTAGTTGAGGAGGGAACCTTCTATTTTGTGTGGAATCGACGTACATACAGGAGGAATGAGAGGAGGAAAGATAAATGTTTTATGTATGTGATGTGGATGAGACGGAAACTGTGCACTGTGGAGCACTTGTTGATGGTATGCGGGGCGTATGAGAGAGAGAGCGTCAGTCTATGGTTGAGATGATTCTGAATGAAGGAGGTAAGATTTACGAAGTCGGGTATGAGAGAACAAGCGAATAGTGGATGGCAATGATTGAGGGTCTGTGTGAGGAAGCAACTGTAGCTATGCTTGAGAGTGTGAAGAGATATTTGGAAAAAGTGTGGAGGTGTAGGGAGAGGAGGAGGATGATATGAGTGGGGTCTTGATGAGTGGAGGGAGAGGGGAGGGTGGGAGGTCAAAGGACACCGTACCTAATGTTTTAGTACATTGCTTCTGTTGTTTTTAGAATATTGACATGTATAACTGAATGTTTTAGTCATTTAGGATTTTTGTGAATACCTTTGATTGATTTTTTTGCTAATTAACTGGCTAGTTCGCCGTGAATTTTTTATTTTTACGCTAGTAAACGTTTCTTTGCAGCGTGAAACGACCGATTTAAAGGTGTTGACAAGTGGCCCAATTCCAGTGTGACAAGTGACCCAATTCCAGCTTGTCTAATGAAAATTCTTCTTTGCGCTCGGCGATAAAATTTTTATTTCCTTCAATTGTTCAAATAATTGTCAGTGACTCGCAGAGTTTTAGTATATATCGAAGTAGTGAGGTAGACTGCATCATCATTCAGGCATTATGCCCCAACTTGCAACTAGATTTCACTGTTTCAAATGAAGACTAATACTGTCTATTTTGTTGTCACGAGGACTTTCTTTACAATCGTGGGCAGCAAGTTATTTAGTTTCAGTTTTCAATGATGAAATCGAGTAATTTCTTTGGACTTCGTGATTTTAGTCATCCTACTATGCGAACTACATATAATTTCGTTGTAAAGCCATATCTTCACGTCTTATTTAGTCACAGAGCCGATCTTCTATCGTGCGTGAAGGGGCTCATGCCTTTCTGTATGTCAAGCCCTTTCCCATCGGGAAGTGTGCGAAGTGAATGCCTATGCGGCTATGCCCAGCAGTGCTACGGAATTTTCCTTCGCAGTTGTGAGCTTATCTAATAGAGAAAATCCTCATGCTTCGCTACATGCGTCACAGATGATTACAAGCCGATACGGAGTCAAATTAACTGCGCACTAATAACACATTACCACGAGCAGATTTTAATTTCAATGATCGGTATGTGAGTATCATGTTTAATTGGGACTTGAACCAAACTATTGAAAAAAACTTTTCGATTATAGATTGATTTCTTTCTGAATTCTCATTTCTCAGATTATATATAATATATTTGCTCATAGTCAAATGTGAACAATTGGAGAGAAAATAACAAAATAAATACATGTGCTAATAATAATCAGAAAACCACATGAATTAAATAAAAAGATTACAACATGGTCCTTTTTATTTCTTTTCAAATATAATGCACCAATTTCCTTCATCGTAAAAAGATTTCAATATATTAATGTCATCAATATTGCTGCACATCTGCTCCAGTTCGCCGTCTCTGAAGGTATGGTAAAAGCGATGGTAAACTTGCTGAATTTCAGACGTCGAAGCTTCGCTCGTCTTCGCCTTCAGCTTCCACGGGACGAACATATCTTGCTGTACAAACTGCGTGCGGTTCTCGTGCACGGGAAGAGACGGTGTGCCGTTCATTTCTGCAGCTTCGGTGGTTTTGACGTTGGCTGCGTTCTTGCTGGTCTTTTGCTTGAGATACGAGCTGGGTCGGTGAGCCATGGTCTGCTCCAGAGCCCACACGTAGACCAGGCCGCGTCCTGAGCTACGAAGCACGCGCACCAACTCCCGAAGACCAGCCATTCTGCGTTCCTATTATGAAATATAATTCGCGGTAATATTTTTTACAAATTTATATATTATAAACAATATTTTTCATGACACAGACAGTGGTCATGAAAAAACAATGAAGAACTTACGTTGTTTTCCCTTAAGTAGCAATCAAATTCTCAATAATTTATCTTTTAATGAAAACTTACTCGATAACATAAGACAAACGTGTCAGCTTTTGCTACAATACGAACCAATTCATCTAAAAATACTGCGGATTCCTGCCCCAGGGACAACTGTCCCCCAACAGTTCATCACTCTGGCCAGCATAGCAACTAATTTTCGGCTATTCATTTAAACTTCAAAGCATTCGTTCAACTGAATAATGCTCGGTTCTTAGAATTAATTCCTTCATTAGCCTTCAGAGCGCCGACCGAGTAATTCAGGGCGAATTAATGCTGGCACCAAGAGAATACTGAACACGTGAAACAAATATGTTCAACAAAACAGGTTACATAATTGCTCCGAAATTTCAAACGATCGTTTATATATCTACTAATGACATTGAAACAATACAGGCATATTGGACTTAAGCGATCGACTTACAACTCGAACCAAGAAACAGCTTGCATATAATTGTCGTACTTCACGTCTCAGACTCAAATTAAAACTACTAAATGTACAAGCTCAAGTACGTTTAAATAGCGAAATGAAATGGAAATCATTTTGAGTGATTTACGTTTCAATCATCATTTGTATAAACAAATTTCAATGTTCAACTCAACCAACAGGTGAAGCGAGATGATGCAGCACGGCGATGCAGATGACAGCATCGTAAGAGGCATCCCGGAAGGGCAGCGCAAGGCAGTTGCAGAGCACAGTCTCGTGGCCGCGCCCCTGCGCGATGCTCAACAGACCCGTGCTGTTGTCGCAGCCCACCTGGACAGCAAATAATGTTCAGGAGCCAATTCAAGTGCTCCTTGAAAACCGACCGCTGGTAGGGATTTACTCGGAAGTAACTTTTAGCCTGCACATTATTGAGGTGATTTGCCACACAATTCTGAGCGTACACATCACCGAGGTGTCATCTTCACATTGAGACGCGGGTAGTTAACCTCGAGATACTAGACAAACAGGAAGTCGATCCTTCCAACGCATCTACGATGCAATTCTGCACTGCACGCTGAAGGGCTGATATGGCATTGTACATCATGCTATCGCTACGACGAAGTGTCATATTTAACGTCATTTCATAGAAAGAAAGAAGTGTAGAGACTGACACGGTTGTAACCCGTATCAGTCTAAATCAACGTTCGCTAAAAGCACGCTTTTAATTCTTTCAGGCTGCGCTGTGTAAATATCGTAACTGGCAGTTTTCGCGAAACACGATATCCAAAATATAGTGAGGCTTCTTCAGATCATGTATACTGTACTCCAATACTGTAGGAAACGTGAAGCTAACATCACCGAATGGCAAGCTAACATAGTGGCCATCCCTACTTTGCTGTACCTACTACTCCGTTATACTGTAGTATTTCTGAAAAAACTCAAATTTATCCTTTACAAAAGTGCTCAGGTGAATCATATACGATATTTCAAAGTGCCCAGGTGAATCATATGCGATATGCGCACTTCACATATGTAAGTGGATGAATCTTGTTTCAATACAGATAATATTGGTGGCATTAAATCTGCACGCCCTGACACGCTGGACTCTGACCTGCAGGAGGGATGCGTTTAGGCCGAGGTACTTTCCGTTGCCACAGCCCACGTCCAGCAACCAAGCGCCCGGCGACAGGCCATCAATGAACTGTAATACGTAAAAATTTAAAGGATATTCGACTAAATGAAGGTTTGAATTAACAATTTGAAGTAGGAGTAATTCTAATATTAAGTATATACGTATGTGTTGAGTGCACTTAAGCGAGAGGCGAGTTTGATAGATCGATTAACATTTTCAAGCTTCACGTAAAGAAAGCCACCTAAACCCAAGCCATTTTAGCCTTTGTTAGATTTAGAATAATGTTACTACCTTATAATTACTGATTTTAGGTACAGTTCTATCTATGCAATGCGACTTAAAGCTTAAAACAAAGGCAAGACTTTCCATAAACTCGTAGGGAAAGGGATCATCAAATGGATGATAGAGTTAAGGTAGGTTGAGGCATAGAACCAACTTATCAGATTGATTAGTTGGCTGACTTACGGTCTGGTCTTTTGTCTGTCTCTCACGCGCCTGTCTGACTTTCGGCCAGGGCTTGTGTCTGTCTCTCACGCACCTGTCTGACGTTGGGCCAGGGTTTGTGTCTGTCTCACACGCACCTGTCTGACGTTGGGCTAGGGCTTGTGTCTGTCTCACACGCACCTGTCTGACGTTGGGCCAGGGCTTGTGTCTGTCTCACGCACCTGTCTGACGTTGGGCCAGGGCTTGTGTCTGTCTCTCACGCACCTGTCTGACGTTGGGCCAGGGCTTGTGTCTGTCTCTCACGCACCTGTCTGAATTTGGGCTAGGGCTTGTGTCTGTCTCTCACGCACCTGTCTGACGTTGGGCCGGGGCTTGTGTCTGTCTCTCACGCGCCTGTCTGACGTTGGGCCAGGGCTTGTGTCTGTCTCATATCTGTCTGACGTTGGATCAGGGCTTGTGTCTGTCTCTCACGCACCTGTCTGACGTTGGGCCAGGGCTTGTGTCTGTCTCTCACGCACCTGTCTGAATTTGGGCTAGGGCTTGTGTCTGTCTCTCACGCACCTGTCTGACGTTGGGCCAGGGCTTGTGCCTGGTGTCACTGAAGTGAGGAGCGATGTTGTCATATACGCTCTGCACGTGGCGAATTTCCAGCACCTCTGCAGTAGCATCATTCTCACCTGCACAATGGCAAGTAACTTAACTCAATTAATTAATAATTTTTCATAATATTTAATCAATTTATGTCTTACTAGGGGCTGTCGCGACATTAGTAATTAATTCAGATTTGATTATATGAATTATGATTGACTTGAAGCAAGCAAGGTCGTCATACTCAGCGATGTGTTCTGGGGAGGTGACTGCTGGTCAGGGCAGAATAGTTTGTAGGGACAGTCACAAGGCCCTCGTCTGGACCTGCGGAAGGTGAAGGACACTCGCAACTGTCTCTTGACGAGCTGCAGATGCCCATCGCTACTGTGGTGAACGTCGTACTGCCGTGCCTTGATGCCGTGTTGCCAACAATACCTTCACAAATAATGCATATGTCTCATGCGACTAATCTCAACACAATCGTATATATCACCCGTCCACTAAGACCCAATACAAAGGATTAGTAATAGTATAAATAGTGTCAGCTATCATGAGGCCAAATATAGCCTGTTTCCGATCCACGACATCGCAGAATTTTTGCAAACTGTTTTGAACCCAAAATTTACGGCTCTCATCATGTTGTTTCAACCAACAAGCCAACTCGCCGATTTTGACAAAAACAGTCACCGGACATTGAGATCGACCCCGCGATCCACTGCTCCTATCTTGGTGTTATCAACTACACAGCCACCATGCTGACATTGACCAAAATCGCCACAAGACCCTGCGATCGAACCCACAACTCACTGCTCCTATCTTGCTGTTATAAACCACTCGACTACCGAGTCATAACTCACAACCAACAACATGAAACATCACCCAACCTGACTGTGCATTCATAGATAGCAGCTGTGCTAGGTATATTTTTTCCGCGCTGTGGGTCTTTGAGTTTTTTTTTATAACATTGGCGAATCTTTTGCTGGTAATAAAGGATTATGCATAGCATGCATGCATTTTTGTGATCCAAAAGGCCATATGATATGTTTTTTGTGATAAAAGCCTTACGATATATTATATAATCAATCAAGTCTACAAATTCCTTAGTGGGAATTCAATGATGAATTTCAAGAGAAAATATTAAGTATTTTGTATTGAAAGTAAGCCACCTTTGCCACACTGACAACACGTCCCCACCAGACTACACTGGCCAATCACACCCTGCAAGCCACACTGACCAAGCATCCTAAGCATGCCACACTGACCAAGCATCCTAAGCATGCCACACTGACCAAGCACCATAAGCATGCCACACTGACCAAGCATCATAAGCATGCCACACTGACCAAGCACCATAAGCATGCCACACTGACCAAGCACCATTAGCATGCCACACTGACCAAGCACCATAAGCATGCCACACAGCATCCTAAGCATGCCACACTGACCAAGCATCCTAAGCATGCCACACTGACCAAGCATCCTAAGCATGCCACACTGACCGGGCTTCTCCACTGAAGACACATAATGAGCGCGGTGGCAGCAGCATGTTGTACCCCATCAATGTGTCTGAAAAAGACCATAATCTATGTAATTTTTTGTTACCAAATGTCAAAAACTCCGAACCGAGATAATATTTTAAAGAAACATGCAGCACTATATAATAATAAAATTTTCATTGCACTTTCAACTTTAGAGGTGCTTAAAAACTATTTCATGAGTGAATTCCCTCATAGAAAGAATTTTTTCCACCACTTGAAGCAAGTTTGAAGTTTGTGATTTCCATTTTCAGTGTACATGGTCAGTTTACGATATGGTAATAATACGCCTGAATTCATTTTTATACTAGACACCCCAGAAAAACAAACCTGTAGGTGAGAGGATCTCGTCATGATCAGCAGCAGGCAGGTCAGTACTGAGCGCCTCACGCTGCTGCTGCAGCAAACGACTAGGAGCAGTCCAGTTCATCAACACCGGTCCTCCCAAACTAAGGGATGCTAGCTCACTACCACACGATCCGTGACTATCAGTGTGAGCTGGGATACCTTGCGTAAAACAAAAACTTAATATTTGAAGTAAGAGAATGGAAGTACAAGCACAACTTGTTTGCTACTGATTGCGATCAACCACACACCACAGTAAGACCACAACCTAAAGTTGAGCTCATACTTCCATGTGTCAAATTAATAAAATAACGTTTCATCAATAACTACTGCATGCTATACATTTTATTAATTTAAATTTAATTTTGTCATTTATAAACATATAAATTAGATAAAAAATATTATTGAGGAAGACAGGAAAGCCAATCATTTTGAGGTCTCAGTACCCATAGTAGCAGTAACCTATATTCAGCACAATTCTAATCACCCTGTCCAGGAAGGTATCTGTTGACAGTGATTTGGTCTGGCATGCACTGCAGCGTCCCCTGCTTCACCATGCGATCCATGATGGCCAGCAGCTCAGTAGGCAAAGGTGCTGCCAGTAGCGGGCATGACGCATCAATGCTGTTGCTGCCGTACTCAAATTCATAACCAAAATGACGAACTGAACGGTTCTTCAAACTTCCTCCTGAATTGACACATATATAACATGCAAGTAAATAAATGCATTTCTAGTAATTAGAAAGTCAATTTTTATCTCATTTGTGAAATCTCAACAACATGTATCAACAGTCATGATTAATTGAAATTTCAGGAGAATTTTAAGGGGAGAAGAGCCTAATACATTTAGCGACATCTAACTAAAGAATTTCTGTAGTATCAAAACTGCATCATGACTAGAGAATGACAAGTTATTTTGTCCCTTGAATAAACTGAAGTTAGATTATAGACTTATCTATCTGGTGCAGAAAATGCTACTCAGACATTTTTAAAATGATTATATAAATTACTAAGATGTGCGGTGTTTGGGATATTAATATTATCAGCATACAAGCATTACCAAGATGAGAGTCTGATGGGGCTGTCTCCCAGTCAATGAGATTCATCAGACTGTGCTCTTCCTCAACATTTATAAAATCCTCCAGCAATCTCAGTCCAGGAGGGCAGTCATGCATAGTTGGCCAAGCTACAGCAGGCACTAAAAGAAAAGTACTATTGTCATTAGTGTGCTTCAATATTGCTAGTTATATGCTATATTTTAAAAGCACAGAAACCACCAAATAAATTCATCATATATTTATTTTAAGCACAGAAACCACCAAATAAATTCATCATATATAAAGGTTTTATAGACCAACTCCATGATCAGATATGTTTTTGGCTAAAAAAAATGCAGTTAGGAAAATGAAAAAATTTAAGAGATCAAATGTTTACAATATCTTGAAAATGCACAATTCAAATCAATATCACTAAAAGCCCTTGTTACATTTGCTTAATTATTCCACTTTAATTTATCCTCCCATACAAAATAAGCATTTTTTAATCAAGGGCTGACTCACTGGAAGGCACAAGGCAAGCATAGACTTTGGAGTGTTGGTGCAGACCTTCCTTAGTACAGGCGTCTCTTGTCAATGTCTTGAGTGCAGCATTAGCCGATTCTTCATCAGTGTACTGCACAAAACTATACTGCTTGCCAGGAAACAAAGCAAGCTGACATGATCCTTTTTCAGCTTGGTGTAAATGGAGGAGCTGCAGTATTGAAGTTTCATCATATCCTGTTGTGTGACCAATGTTTCCAATATAAATGACCTGCAATTTGGCAAAAATACACTTTGACTGACAAATACAGAAAAAAAAGAGATAGGTAATTATGCAAGGTAATAGTGAATAAACTATATATACAAGAAAAGTTTTAAACTTAGTAATATATAAAAAATTAAGTATCTGCATTTTGAGAGCTTATATCTACTGGTTTAGCCTTAGAATAAAAAATATAACTCAGTACTCACTGCAGTGAGTGACAGAGAGCGCATTTTCTCGTTGACAAAAATGTGAAGTCACAGACGGACAGACAGACGGATGGACAGCCGGACAGACAGACGGACATGGCAAGCACAACAGTGCATTTTTTTCATAAATAAGAAAATGCGCTAAAAACATAAAAATTCAACAAAAGGAAACATTTTAAATTAGTCAAAACAAGGGCATTTTGAAAAATATTTAATAAATTATGAATCATTAGTTGCTATCTTGGATTAATTCTTCCAACAGACAAAAGAGAGTTCAGTCACTTCAGTGTTAGCCATAACTGGCTCACACTCACCTGATACCTGTCTGTTGACATTCCAGGACATAAGCTTGGAAAATCTTTCTCCAAAATTTTCACACACCTGGCCACTTTTTTTGAGTATTTCTTATTCATGAAAGTCATTATTACAGTTGTTGATGGGCTAGTTAAAAAACTATTGTTGAAGTTAAACACTTTTTTACACCAAGGCTCATACCTGGCAGGAAAGAACTAAAAATGATTTAGCATAGGACATAGTTTTTCCCAAGGTGGTCAAACTTAAAGACCTGAGCTGAAAGTAAAAACATTAGTGATTAGTCTATGCCCTACAGGCCACGGCCACTGCCCTATTAGGATTAGCATCAGGCTGTCACTTGACTTGCAATGCTTACTGCACATTGGCAAACAAAAAATTTTTCTGAAACTGGTTCATTTTTAATCCCCTTATCTGGTTTAAAAATTTATTCAATATTTTTGTATTATAATGAATTTAATGATGCCAAACATGATTATCATTGTATTGGTTCACTGGTACTACTAGCAACTAGCCTGGATGTAATGGACCGTCATGATTCCTGCCTTCCAGAACGTAGCCTTCAACACTTCTGGACAATCATATAGGCAGCCAAAAGCCACCAGAAAGAACAAATAAATTGAACTAGACCAATCAGCCCTCAGGAGAAACAGCCGGCGATCGAATGGCCTAGCATTGTCCGCCGTACCGCGAAAAAATTCTGCACCACTCGGACGTAGCGCGCTGGAGCCTTGCAGCGAATGTTATATCCGCCACCAAGCCGTCCGTATCTAGGCCGTGCATCAAACCCATGGTTAAACTAGTATAGTTCAACCATGCATCGAAGCAGCCCTCGGTCAAACGCTCCAGCCAAGTGCTAACCCAACCTAACCTGACCCTGCCAGTTGCACGGCTCTTTTGACCAACGGCCTGGTGGTGCACGGCAGGTTTTATGCAAGGCCGGAGAAGGGCAAAAGCCGAGTGGTCGAAGTCTGTTGCGGACAAGTTCCAGTTCGAGCAGTGGCCAGGGTATGAAGTGATGCTTTGACGCAATGTTCAATGGTGAACGGCCATTCGACTCTAGGCTATTCGACCTCATGTCTGGGGGGGTGTAGAGCTCAAAATATTCAAAGCTCAAAATATCAAAGCTTATTGGTGTACAAAACTTGTGGCGCACAGCTGCGCTCCCCACAGGGAGATCTAAAAACAGGTCCTTTGACCAGATTTTTTCAAAACTAAATATAGATTGAAATGGGAGCGCAGCCGTGCACCACAAATGTTGTACACCAATAAGCCCTGAATTGAATGCCTTGGATCTCTCCGGACATCTACCAATCAGCCGTGAATGGAACCTGCTATCCATAACCGATCCTTGGCATCCTTCTGCTTTGAATATTTTGAGCTCCGCACCCCCCAGACACGAGATCGAATAGCCTAGAGTCGAATGACCGTCCACCACTCAACGTTGCGTCAAAGCATCACTTCATACCCTGGCCACCGCTCGAACTGGAACTAGCGCGCAACAGCCTGCGACCACTTGGCTTTGCCCTCCTCCGGTCTTGCATAAAACCGTATAAACCGTAAAAATTACGTAATTTTACGTTCACCGCATCTGAGGTTAGGTTTCAGATAGCATAGTTATGTTCCAAAATTTATCGTCCTTTGACAAGTAGCCATTTGACCAAGGGCTGGTTCGACACACTTCTTCTTGTTTGAAGCTTATTGGAGCTTTGGAGACGCATCCACGTAGCTCCACGTCTGCAGGGGGATTTGGTTGTTACAGAAGTGCCAATATCCCACATTTGCACAGGGATTTAGTCAGTGCAGCAGTCCCAGTAACTGTGTGTACATGAAAAATGTCATTAGTATAAAGCATCATTAACATTCTATCAATTGATTTCAGTATCATGTTCAGGGAAATAAGATCAAGCCAGATCAGGGAGCAAACGTGTTTCAAAATAAAATGAAATTGATTTGCTAAGAATTGCCATGCAATTAGCTCTTCTAAAACAAAGGACCACATTATTAGAGTTAAACTAAATTGCCCAAGTTAGTAGCTAGTGGATGCCCTACCTTGTGCCACACACGAGAACCCAAACTCTAGGTGAGGGTCCAGCCTGGGTGGCTCAACCTGGAGCCTCTTTCAGCCAAAAATGACTATCACAAAATAATGTTTAATGCAAATGTGCAAACAAGATGGATCTCTTATGGGCAGGGCTCAGAAGGAGGCAAGGGAATATTTGTTTATCTGGCGGAGACAAATAGAGGCATCCTTCACACAGGCAGTCATTACAGTACGTATTCAATTGATCTGCTCAGAGAAACCTCTACTAGAAACTCATGGATGCACCACAGGTGCGTTTGCAGCAGGCTTGATATAAAGTTAGCTCCACAGAGTGTTATTTGTAGTTAGTAATTAGTATACTCAAAATGTTAAGAGATTGCAGGCAGAATTACAATATTATATCTGACTAACATTAAGATAGGTCAATATTTACTAGGTTCCATTTATTAAGTCTACATTTGCTTCAGGGCATTAATTTCTATAAGGTAATCAATGGTGGCTTTTACTATCTTCAGCTGTGTTTCAGGTGGGAAAGGGCCTCCTCCAAGCTAGTTCTTTACAGATTGATCAATGTTCAGCAAGGTTAGTGTGTTAGACAGATTAGTTCAGGCCTGAGCATGCAGTTGGCAGTGGAGCAGCAAGTGATCTATTGTTTCTACACACTGGCCACAGTTGCACATAGGGTTATCAATCATTCTGAACCCAGCCAAGTGTACTCTCACTCCAGCATGACCCATCCGAAGTCTAGCAAGTGCTGTTTCCACAAGTCTATTTTGGTTCAGTTCCTAAGGCCAATTGCCTACTCTATCTTTAATTTGGCAGAGGAATAGGCCCTTTCCTGAAGCTTCAGTGATATTAACCCATTCCTGCTGGCTGCTGCCAGTACAGCAGTACTCAATAAAAACAAGCCAGATATTTCTTACCGTCTCTTCCTTTGACCTAGGAATGATTGTACGGTACCGAAGGCGGCAAAGGGTGTGGGCGAGTGATGCTGCATGGTCTGCTCCCTCATTCCCAGCAATGCCTCGATGACCCGGAATGAACTGTAGTTTGAGATCATGTGGGGATGCCAGCGCCATCAGCTTTTCTTGGATCGCAAAAATAAGATGTACATATGAAGGAGGTTATCTATCAGCAATTAGGTACAGTGAGCAGCTTAGGGAGTCTGTAAATACGACCAATTTCTCATTACTTTCAAGGTTATTTTGAGCCCACTCAAGCAATTTATGGATGGCAAATAATTCTGCTTCAAGGACGGACACCACTGGACGAAGTTTCCAGTTGAGAACTACTTTGGATGGGACCACCATAGCTGCAGATGCAGAAGTTGAAGGTTCTGTAATGCAAGAACCATCAGTGTAGGCTGTTGTAAAGTTTGTAAACTGGGTCTGCAGAAGGTCTTGGAAGATTTGTGAGGCCATGTCCCATGTTGGAATTGGATGTGAGGCCTGATACAGGACTTGATGAAAAGATTGTTAGGATGTGTTTATGGATTTTGAACCAAGGAGGAAGTGGCAACAGAAAAGTGTCTCAATGGCATAGCATGGGAAGGAGTAGTGACTAGTGAGTAGATTATGTCGAGTAAATATTGCACGAGACAGAGCAGTCAGGGAAGGCAGTAATGAGGCAGATGCTAGTGGATATAGATCATTTCTTTCAGCACAGAACAGATTGCTAATGATGGAGGACATTGGAAGTGTGGTAAGTCTGTGATGGTATTGACACAGTAGTTTTTGATGATGGATTGAAAGAGAAGGGATATTAGCTTCCACCTCGAGTGAGCAAAGCTGCAAACTGGAGTGGTTTTTCTACTTCCTAAGGCAATTCTGAGACTGGTTCTGGATTATATCAAGTTTTTTTTAATAGTGTTTGGGCAGCAGACCGCAGCACTAGCGCCCCTCAGCTCGCTCCAACCTAGCCATTCGTGAGACGCAGACTGGGGAGCCGCTGAGTCAACAGTTACAGTGTGACGTCAACTACAGTCACAGTGTGAGTGAAGGGAGGCTGGGAGCGGTTGTTTCCAATCTTTCCCTTGGCAGTTGTGCCATTTTTTGTTCACAAAGCGGTGCACTGAGACGACGGCACATGATGCACTGGCTGATGAATCGGCAGCATAGTGACAAAGCAGAGAATTTTTTAGACTCTCCCTCAAGTTCATTTTTGAGTCCTATAAGTAGACCAGTTAAGTATCATAGATACCAGCATTATCATACTTGAGAAATTGGTTTAAATCTTGAGTTTTTGAGGAAATTAGAAATGAACTGATTCCAGAAGAGCTCTGGTTTGCCACTATGATCGGCAGAATCGCCGAATTAAGCTTTTGCCTTTCATGAGGTAATAACCAGCTGGCAGCTGCTCTCAAGTCTCAACTTCTCAAGGCACCACGAGTCCACGAGTAATTTGACATTCTTCTTTGCAGGGGGTCCACGCTGGGTGGACATAAAGCCACAGGTCTGCCTGATGGGATGACCGTTGTGCCTGAGAGCTTGTTGGTTAAGTTTTTAGCTTCTTGGTACAGGAAGCTAGTCAGTTCTCTCTTAAGAGAGATCAGTTCTCAGGTAGCTCCATATAGGATTTGAGGAGTTTTAAAGGAGACAAGTTTTAGTAAATGGATTTAAGACCAAATGCTCATTTGAAGCAAAGCATAAAAGGTAAATGAATGCTGGTACAGCCTCCCTACCTACTTCAGTTCAAACACCTAAAAGACACGCCTAGATTTTGATAAATATGCCAACAACAACAGTAGATAGAACATAAGTAGCAGCAGCAATCAAACATGTGCATGACTGCCATGCATGCTTGTGTACAGCTGTTGCATGGCATTGATGGCAACCTACAGCTCGCTTATCCTACCTGACTTCAATATGAATAGAGTAAAAAATCGAAATATTTTCTGTTGTACATTATCATTATGGTTACCTCCCCCCAACAAATTACATAGAGTAAATTCTATATTAATGCATCTTAAATTACGTTGTAGCTCTTGTCTTGGCACTTGGCAGCACGTGACGTTGACAATCCAGAAGAAAATGCGCTATTGTATCCGATGTATTGCAGGTGGTACATTGATCCATGTTGCTCATGTTGAATCGATATAGATGGCTCTTGACACGTTGACAGTTGACACCGGCATGACCAATTCTGAGTCTTGCAGCCGCACATTCCAACCTGCGGGACTTTAACCAGAGCCAAGGGCGCAGTCTGGGTTCTGTCAAGATGTCACTCAAGAATGTGCCCTTCTGAGTGTGAGTGACAGTCGCTTTCCAGGTCCTGGTCCAATGCTTGTGTAACAGTGTAACTTCTCTCTTGTAATTTGACAGCCTTGATGAAGGCATGAAGCAATTGTCG